CTTCCTTTACGAGGATATTTTGATATTTATAAATTATAATTGCTTCCGACTGAATTCAAGGCTATAGTTTTAGGGGGCTATCAGGCGTGGCTAATTTTTTTAAAATTCGTTGCTTGCAACGTTGTCACCGAATATTGTAAATCCATCTCTTTAGTTTCTTAGATCGAGAGTTTATATAATATTTTTTTGATAATTCTTTTTACGTACAAGCTTTACGTTTTTTGAGACTTTGGTAAGCCAAAAGTTAAGATGATAATAACTGAAATTCATATATTATGAATATAACTAAGGGTTCTTGCCAAGTGAGATAGTTTACTTGTTGTATTGTATTGTAATATTTTAAATGATATTATAAAAATAAATATTACATTGATCCTAGTCGCTTTTTCCATCAGATTGAGATGTAGGGAACTCCAAGAAAAGACACCTTTTAAAGTATATGGGAATAGTTTACCTTTAACTTAAATAGATACCTAATAGAATTGGTAAAATGAAATAAAAACCCCCACCCCATGTCCCATGTCGTAAACTACCTAATTATTTTGATATTGAACTCTTGTAACATACAATTAAACGAAAAAATCCAGAGTGGAATCTCAAGTAAACATTTAAACAAAAATGCTTCTGCTGATTGCCGACGGGCAAGCCAATCTTTTAAATATAAAATCTGAATTTTATGGAAAAACAGATTGTGTTCTAAACAAATTGTGTGTTCTCCGCCAGGAACGCCTAAGTGGACATGGCAGCCTAGGCCTCTCCAGCAGCAGTGCGGCGTACACCACGCACTCCGGCGGACACACGGGACGCAGCGGCCCGGCCACCGGACACAGTGGGCACAGTAGCACCCATGGATCGGCGGCCACCATGCACCACCAATCGCTGCAGTCCGACTTTCAGCCGCCCTACTTTCCGCCGCCCTTCCACCACTCCACGCAAAGTCCGCCCCAGCAACAGGTAAGACTACATCCCGCGAGCCGTTTCGATTATTCGCAAGCGTTATCTAGATATCCGGCTACTTGCAGAACCACGGTGCCCTCGAGTACTTGGGTACGGATCCGTACGGCCAGCCCCTTTCCTCGCTGCACCATGCCCCACTGCACCACTACAATCAGCTGGCGGGGTTGCGGTCCACGCAGGATCAACTGGGGATTCACAGGACCCACAGAGAGGCTGAATTGCAGGGACACGTCGTAAGTAGAGCACAGAAAAAAACTTTTTGCTTGAGGGGATTTAAGCCCTTTAACCAGTAAATACCTTTGTGCAATTCCTCAATGAATGTGTTAGCAGGAAAAAATAACAAGTTAAATTTGTTAAATCAATTCAAGTTGTTGAAGATTATTTAGTGAATTTGAAGTGTTTCTAAATTTGACCAATTTCCTTTTCTTTCCAAGTATTTTTTAGAGTGCAAAATTAAAAACGAAAACGGCCTAATTTTTGTATGTGCAGAACAATTGAAAGCCAAATTACTTTTAATACTAACAAGCAGGCAGTTAGCCCCGGACCCAATCTTTTCATCCGTTTCAGAATTTGCGTCTTCTTCCACATTATTCTTGCATATTTCGCTACATTCTTGGCTTCGGAGGCCATGGAAATTTAGCAGGGGTGGATTGCCCCATTCTGTAAAAGTTGTCGAAGTTATTTTGGAACGAATTCCATTCGAGTGCATTAAAAAACATCCTCCGGAAAATGCTAAAAATGTTCTTGAGATTTTGCCGGAGCGTCTTGCCAAGAACGATGAAATTCTTAGCCCGCCGAAGGGAATCTGGTTCCACATTTATTTTGCTCCGCAAGAAGCAGTGCAGCAAAACGCAACGTTAATGTTATGAAAAGGCGTATTCCCGCAGCCTCGTATCCTTGCAGGCTCTCTGGTGCGCATCTGTCCGCCGAAGGGTCTTTCTCACAGACACGCCACACACAAGCTCCCGCCTATATGTGTGTGTTCCAGCCGGTCTGCATACATTATGCCAAGAAGCTGCGATTGGCCAAGCCATGGTTTCAACCCCTTGGCGAAACCGAAGCGCCGATGTATTAATAATCTCGCAATTATTGGCATCATTTTTACAATACACACAGAAATATTGCTGGGCTACAAAAATTACGTTTTCCGCTCGACTTAAGGCGAATGGACGTGTAGCGTTAAAAATGAAATTGTTTTATTTTTTAATTTTATATTTAGCCTAAAGAGCTTAAACTTAAGATCTGTGTAAGCCATAAGCCATTAAATAATAAACTTACAGTAGCTCTTTTGTCAACTCATAAATTATTGCAACATTTATGCCCTTACAGACCCAACTGTCCCACGGATTTCCGTACACGGATAGAAGAAGTGATTACGGTAGTGCAATATCGGCAGGAGCTGCCCATGGAACCAGACTGGGACATGAGCACGAGTCCTTAGCTTTGCATCAAGCCCTTCAAAACGCTGTCGATGATGTTCAAGCCCCTGCCCTCGACGATAATGTGGCTTTTATGTCCGACTTGCCGCTTATAAAGAGTAAGTTGAACCAAAATTCTTTATTGCATTTATAACATTTTTTATAAGTCCTCAGATTAAGATTAGATACGCATTTTAATGTAAGATGTGTGTTTAAAAAATTTATACAATAATTATTAAATAATCCTCATTAATCCCAAACAAATTATTGGTTTTAGTTTATGAATTTATCATAATCGCTCGTACTTAACTTCTTTTACGTAAAATGAGAGGCGTTTGGTTCCAAAATATAAAAACTACAGTGAGATTTAAATAAAAAGGATCAGGTGTAAACCAATAAATTAAAACACATTTAGGAGTTCAAAACGGAGTTTGATTTTCACGTTTCTAGACATATTAATTGAGAATAATTTAAGGTATTCCGAAATACATATAAAAAGGTCAATTGAAATAGTTTTTTATATTAATATTGCCATACAAATTACACACAATCTGAATGAACTTGCAAGTTGCACTCCACTTCACGTTGTGTTCAAGGCGGAACTATGAACACGCCTAAATAACAATGCAAGGACCAACCCTGCAAAATGCGGCGTTTGTAGGCATTGTGAAATAGAATCTGGTACTTCTAATTGGCAGGATTCGGGTAAAATGATCTCCACGTCCTGCGTTCACACTTTGCTCTGGCTGAACAACAATGGCAATAATAACATATCTTTCTTGGCGTGAACAATATGGGGTACACACTCATGGAGTTTATTTGCGATTATTTACAGGCATGAAAAGCGGGAAGGAGTCCGGGAACCTGGGCTCGGGTTCGCCCAGCGAGGTATTCTGTGCAGTTCCTGGTCGCCTTAGTCTCCTATCGAGCACGTCGAAATACAAGGTCACCATTGCCGAAGTGCAGCGCCGGCTGTCACCACCCGAGTGCTTAAACGCCTCCCTCCTGGGCGGAGTGCTCCGAAGGTGGGTTTGGCTTACTCGCCATCCTTGTCATCGACTTTAGTTGTAAATTCCTGCTTTCAGAGCCAAGAGCAAGAATGGAGGTCGACTGCTGAGGGAGAAGCTGGAGAAGATCGGTTTGAACTTACCGGCTGGAAGGCGAAAAGCGGCTAATGTGACGCTACTTACATCCTTGGTGGAGGGCGAAGCAACGCACTTGGCTAAGGACTTCCATTTCGTGTGTGAGACGGAATTCCCGGCAAGGCAGCTGGCAGAGTACATTGTGCGGCACCAAACGGAGCCACAGGACTCCTACCGACGAAAAGAGCTCATCCTTCACTCCCAGCAGGTAAGGTCTTAAGAAAATAACACACTGCAACTGAGCCGCTACTTGTAAATGTAATGTGACTATACTAATTTTTGTTTCATTGTGATTATCTTGTTAAGGTTTTATTTAAAATTTTTATAGCAAAAATTAAAATTAAATGTATCTGAAATAGAGGGGAAAATTTCACTAGTTTGACTCATTTAAAAGTGGAACAACTTATATATTTTTTTCTGCATAAAATATGACATTTTTCGAAAACAAAACATACAAATTGCTAGGAAGAACACCACTCAAAAAGTATATACCTTTTTTTGCTTTTCTTCACACATTCGGTGAAAATCAATCAATAAATCCATTTATTAAAGTCATAGTCACATTTTTCAAAGAATATTCTTAATTTACAAATTACTACATACTTTTGCAGGGTAAAATGAAAGAAAATTAACTAACAAAATACAAAACTTTTTTCGCAGATTACAAAAGAATTAATGCAGATCTTAAGTCAAGATCGAACGACCCATTTTGGCACAAGATCACAGCACTTGTTGGAGCCTTCGATGCAGCGCCACTTGACACACTTTTCCTTGATTACGCACGGCTTTGGATCACCCGCAATAATGGCCGTTCTCCATGCTTTCCAGGTATTTCACTTGGATTACAGCACACCAAGCTTTGGTAAATAACAATTTCTTATTTCTTTTACTGCAGACATTCTTGAATGAGTCATTGAACTATTTGGAAAAGCTATATCCTTCAAATGGCGGCGGAATGGTGTCGTCATCGTTGGATAAAAGTAAAATCGACAACGAAAAAAAATGATAGGCTATGTTGTATATTGCCACTGAAAAAAGCAAGCCGTAGGTTAAGAGTAAATTTCAATACGACATCAATAACAAATAATACAACTCCTGTAAATTAATTTATTTAGTTAAGTGTAAATTATTGGACATTTTGTATATCTATAACTGTACTTTGAATGTAAAAAATTCAAATATATTAAATACGTATAATTTATTTAACTTAGAAAAATACATCGACTTTTTGTCAAAAGCACGAAGCTTTTTACAACTAATTCAAACAAAGCTCTTTACAAATACAATTATTTGTATGTAGAAACGATTGAAATGCTCTCATTTTTAATTTTTTAAGTAACTTACAATTTAAAGATTTTAAAATTATACAAATGAATAAAATGTGTTTTTAAAACTAACGTCATTGATCTAACTTATTTTTGATTCCACAAGAAGGTAGGTTCCCTCAAACAAAGGTCACGGTTCCGATGTTTTTAAAAATAATTTATTTACAAAATACATATATACGCTTTACAAATAATACGAATAATATTATAACCATTAAGCTTAAACTAATCAAAAATATAATTGAAGCTCTCAAGCACTCGGAGTCCTGGCATTCAGAAAGGTATTCATTGTTCGGAGACAACTTCGTGATCTCCATATCCAAAATCTTTTGGATGACGTCGTTTTCATATTCTGAAAAAAAAAGTTTAAGCAAAAAGTTTGGACTTTATGGATTTTACAATACCTTCATTTTTGCCTGTTACAATGTCGTGAATAGAAGGTTCATTGTCTTCCACTTCCCTCTCCTCTGATGGGACTAACCAGGCAATATCATCACAAATTTTCCTCTGCTGAACTGGGGCTATACTATCATTAGATATTCTTAAAGGTAAAGTTGCTCTGTGTACTTTACTGAACTCCCCTATTCGATTCAGATTTTGCAACAAGCTGGATTTATGCGAGTTTATGGCAAAATCTAAAAACACATTTAGTAACCAGTAGCAAGCCTTTTCGAGGTGCGTCGAATCCAGGCAGTTCGAGTCTCCATACACCGCTATACGTCCTTCGCTATTAGGTGGAGTATTATGTATCATCTTGTCAAAGCTAATGCTTCTGTTACTTTTTCGGAATAACAGACCCCTGTTGATGTATTTTGAATACTCTGTGCTAATTGGTTCGACCCGGTTGACCGTTGTTTGGAACATGCCTAAGATAGGTAGGTATTCCTTTCCCACTTTAGCTGGAGTTTTTGAATTTATAATCTAGAATGAAACATTATTTTTATCGAATGCGGAATAATGAATTAAATTAATATGTACCGAAAGCCCTTGGTCGTTTAGTTTGGTTCCCACCAATATATCCCCGGGGTTATTTGGAAATTGTACAATCGTCGCACCACTGGCATAGTACATCGAGTGGTCTCCCAGTTTGAAGTGTCCCTCGCCGACAAAATCGCCAAAACCAATTCCAAATGGTTTCAGCAAATCGTTCAGGGCCGGGATATTGGCGCCGCCGGTATCAGGCGTCCACCATTGTCTTGTGTTTTCGTCAAAGAATTTAATTTTTTGCATAACCGTTGTATTATACCAATCTCCGAAAATGACGACACTTAGGCCGTTCCTATAAACGTTTTCGTGTATGGCAAGTATTTCGTCGTCTGTGAACTTTTTCTCCGGATCTACAATCAATAAAGCTCCGTAATCAGAGGCATTAAAGCAGGTGAAGGGTTCCCGCAAAACGTCAATATAGTAGCCAACATTTCGTAGATGCGTATACATGTCCTTAAAGTTTGTGTGTATGTGGTCCGCCCTCCAGTCCAAAGGATCCGATTTCACCTTTAGATCATCTCTTGGTATATATCGCGGAGGATACCTCAAGCTATGGTACTGGTCCCACAGAATCCTTTTGCTTCTGGGAGGTGTTTGCGTTACTTTTATGGTCAGCGGCAACTTGACTTCGCTTATGTGAGTTTCGTTTGTCGTATCCTTCCAACTTTCAACAACTAAGGTAATAGCTCCTTTGCAAACACCCTCAAAGTTCTCGCCATCCTTATTAACAGCTTTAAAGGTAAATCAAAAGCGACAACAAATAAGTAAATAGGGTAACAAACAGACAAAGACCTTATAATAACAAGATGAGTAACGGCATTTCATTTTTTTTCACTCAAATTTTTAGTGCTGTAGAGCCGGCTCCAGACTGGCTTGAAATCTTGTTCAAAAGCCAAAAAGAGCGCTTTAGAGCCTCCTCTTGAACACATAGTCTAGATCTGTACGCACGCAGAGCATCATATTTTAAGATTTGCATACCCTTGCAGGGTTTTATAATTCAAATCAGAAGTTTGACGGTTCTGCCCTATGAAGTATATATGTATATTCTTGATCAGCATCAAAAGCCGAGTCGATCTAGCCATGTCTGTCTGTCCGTCTGTCTGTTTCTACGCAAACTAGTCCCTCAGTTTTAAAGCTATCTGAATGAAACTTTGCATATAGTCTTCTATATACTCTCACTGCTATATATGTCGGAACGGGCCGGATCGGATGACTATATCATATAGCTGCCATACAAATGTTCGATAAATTTTGGGAAAAAAAATTATAACTTGGCTGTTTTTTAATATTATTCCAGAATTTTGTCAACAATTTTATGAAAATCGAACTATATCTTTTAGCTGCCATATGAACGATCGGGAAATTAATCGAAATAAATTATTACTTCGTTGTTTTTCAACGTATTTGCATCTACTCTGAGATATGAGCTTTACTTATTATTATAGAATTTTGGTATAATTTTTATGAAAATCGGACAACTATACTATATAGCTCCCATAGAAGCGATCCGTAGATGTAGAGAAAATGTAAAGCTGGGAATGTATAACTGTAACTGTCAAACTGTAAACATAATAAGTATAGGTAAAATGTTATGAAACTCTGTTTAGTGTATGTTTTCGGCATTATAATTTATAATATAAATATGAAAACCAATCTGCAAGGGTATACAAACTTCGGCGTGCCGAAGTTAGCTTCCTTTCTCGTTTCCGAGTTTCGGTTTTTAATGACAACTTTGTTGTTTTTCAACATATTTTCTTCTTTTTTGGGATATTTAAGAATTTCGGTTTTAATGTAATGGAAATCGGACGACTATATCATGTAGCTAGAATAGAAACGATTGGCAGATGTAGAGAAAAATCTAAAGCTATGAATGTAAAACTGTAACTGTAAACCTGTAAAATAAAAATATATAAATATGATAAAATTGAAAACTGCAAGGGTATAGAAACTTCGGCTTTCCGAAGTTAACTTCCTTTCTTGTTATGCTATCAACTTCGTGCTATTGAGATTGAGGAAAGTTTGTTTTTTTCTAAAAATGTTCTTGAATATGGCAATTCAAATGTATGTGCATTACGTATCTTTTTAGTATAAGGTTTTAGGCATTACTCACCAATAAAAACTGCCATCCATCCGGTCCACGGCCAAAGGAATGGAGAAACTTCTGTTGATATCTGAAGAAACTGGCCGTGATGCACTAGGTCTGGAATCCATTTCGGGGTTCCCAAAATCTGACTGGTGACTGAAATTCCATTGAGTATCGTTACGTTTGCAATGGCCATGGAGCTTCCATAATACAACGGCTGAGAACTGTATGGCCACATATAGTTCAAAGTGAAATCAAGGAAGGGAGGCACAAGACTTATCTTTGGCTTATAACTCAGCAAAAGCCGCATGCTTTTCAACAAGTTCAGTTTTCCAGCGCCCTGCTCAAACATGTTGTAGTGTGGAAGCTTTTCGGCGCCTTCAATCAGGACTTGTTTGAGGGATGCTGGGTTAATCAAGTCGATTTTATGGAAAGCACCGCTGATCAACAGGGCTGCTACTCCTGCAACAACTGGAGATGAAACCGAGGTTCCTGAGAGGCGTCTGCAGCCTTTGCGCACATCACTTCCTTCCACCTGACTTCCGTAAGTAACTATATCCAGCCCTAATCGGCCATATCCCCGCGGAAGTTCCCAAGTGGTCATGCCTCTCGAACTGAACTTGGCGATTTTGTCATCAAACTGAATGCCGCCCACGCCAATAACGTCACTTTGGTCCCCTGGATTGTTCAGAGTTCCGTAGAGGGGGCCATCGTTGCCTGCAGCAGATATCATTATGACATTATTGGCCGACAGCTCCAGAACTTTCTCCACAAACGGTGCATCCATAAAGTCCGGTCCGCCTATGCTAAGGTTGAGTATGTTAATTTTTTTGAAAATTGCATAGTTAAAGGCATCCAGAAACCAGGAAGTGTAGGAAACCTAAAGCGTGCGGTTTAAAGTATTCAATTAGTCATGCATATTCGGAAAGAATACCAAAACTACCCACCTGGGAGTTTGTAAACACTTTGAAAATGTAGAGGTCAGCATCAGGGGCAAAGCCAAGGCATTCCCTGGATGAGGCTATGACCCCTGCGACGAAAGTCCCATGACTAACCTTATCATCCAAGGACTTTTCATTAGTCCAATTAGTCCGTTCTTTTACATTTCTAAAATGTGGATGGTTCTTGGTTAAGCCGGTATCAAAAATAGCAACTTTGACTCCTTTGCCTGTGATGCCTAGTTTCCAAAGAACGTTGGCTTTCAGTACTGAGCAAGCTTGGCGAGATCGATCATTATCCGAGTTTCTGTTCCGCAAAACACCCTGAGGCTGGCGGTTTACATTTGTAAAGTTACCATACAGGCCATGAGCCAGAATGCGGCGTACACTTCGCTGGGGAAATACCTTCTTCACTAACGGATGCGATTCAATCCTTTCTATAACTAATTTAATTGATGCTGGATCTTCGTCTAAGGTCCTTAAGATGTCGAAATCACTTGGATACTCCCAAGCCAAATTATGACGTGGTATAATGGTCCAGCCGGTTACCTAAATGACGGAGCGCATTACATTTTTATCAGGATCTCACAAACATAAACCATTTGTACACGTTTGCCAATTATTAATGCTACAATATACTCAGAATAAAAATTCAATTTTCTGAAACGTTGCATTGTAGCAGATATTTAGATATTATTAGAAGGGTATCTTTTAATAACTTCAGCTTGTTCACGCAGGTATAACAATAATAAACATTAGTCAGTCGCTTTTAGGGACATTGCACAGTGGTTCCGTCAGAGGCCAAAAATCAAAAAAACCAATTTGAAAATATTACAATTAAATTTACACAGTTTGTCTCTAAAATGTCCAATCTACCAAGTTGCAAACCGCTTTTCGCTGGAAACCCAACGGTACATTCTAAAAATAGAATCAAAAGCATGAACACGTGTTCATTTCAACAGCGCATCGGAGCTGTGGTGAAATATTTCGAAGCAAAAGCGCACTTTAAATCTGTCTGGTAACTGTTCAAGTCGATAAATTAATATTATTTAAAATGGATTTTGAAGCTCAAGGTATTTATTTTACTTTATGAAATTAATTTATACTAACTTGATATGAAATTAACAAAATCTAACTTGATATGTGAAACCTATTTGTTTGTACCTGTTTTGTGTGTCTTAAATTTGTTTACCTAAAGTTTTAGTTGTGATCCCCCACGATTCCCAGAAAGGATTTTATTTTTTTTAATTTATTAGAGTTTTAAGATGTTAAATTCGTTAAAGTTAGGTGCGGAAAGTTGCGGATGTAGTTGTAATCGTTAATATTCTAACACGACTTCTTATTTTTTTCAAGGTCAAATTATGCCAGCGCCAATAATCCGGGTTGATAAAAAATCGGGAAAAAATGTTAAAAATAAAAACGTCATCTGAGTACCTCGGGGCACGTATCCTTTAGTGAATACAATATATTTTTTTGATATCGGATGTTTTTGTGGACAGTTAGGATAGGATGTACACCGAAAATAAAATTTTTTTGTGGGGGCTCAGGAGATTCGCTATTACTCGTAAGCATGAAAATATTTTTTAATACAAAAATTAAAAAAAAAATTGTTCAAATGTTGTGTTATTATATGGTATTTAATTCATTAAGCTAATTTTAGCCGTTTCGTCACAACATTTTTTTTAAAAGTAGTGAGTGTTGCACCCAATTAACCTTACCCCCCCTTAAGCTGCGTACGATTGTTGCTGAACAAATTAAACACACAATATATAAGTGAATATTTTTTTTTTACTTTTGGGCACTTATATTTCACTAACGTTCTCATTAAGAGAACAAAAACTTAAAAATTAAAGTTAGGTCTTGGAAAAAAAATAATTTAATAAAAATTTTGTATGGGAGCTATACGATATAGAGATCTGATTTTAACCAAAGTTGGTAGGAATATATAAACCTGTACCAAACATATAATCTGTAAAATTGGTTAAGATATTTTGAAAAACAAAAAAGTTTTTCATACTAAATGTTGATTTTTAACAGATTGTTTCTATGGCAGCTATATGATATAGTTGAGCAATATGGCCAATTTTTTGTGGATATACTTAAAACATTTTTCTTGATTTTTGGTGAAAGTTTCATAGCGATAGCACATCTAGAAGTAATTATGGCCGCAGCTCCATACAAGCCGAACCACTGTGCATTGTGAGAAAAGTTATTATTTTTTTTTTAATTTTTTGAATATTTTAAAACTTGCAAAAATAATAAAAACAAGAAAGGAAGCTAACTTCGGCACGCCGAAGTTTGTATACCCTTGCAGATTGGTTTTCATATTTATATCATAAATTATAATGCCGAAAACAGACACTACACAGAGTTTCATAACATTTTACCTATACTTATTATGTTTACAGTTTGACAGTTACAGTTTTACATTCCCAGTTTTACATTTTCTCTACATCTACCGATCGGTTTATATGGCAGCTATATGATATAGTTGTCCGATTTTTATGAAATTTATACCAAAATTCTATAACAATAAAAAAAGCCTATATCTCAGAGTAGATACAAATACGTTGAAAAACAACGAAGCTATAATTTTTTTCCTATTAATTTCCCGATCGTTCCTATGGCAGCTATATCATATAGTCGTCCGATTTTCATAAAATTTTTACCAAAATTCAGAAATAATATAAAATGGCCATATCTAAAAAATGGTGCAAAAATATTGAAAAACAGCAAAGTTATATTTTTTTTCTAAAAATTTATCGGACATTTGTATGGCAGCTATATGATATAGTCGTCCGATCCGGCCCGTTCCGACATATATAGCAGTGAGAGTATATAGAAGACTATATGCAAAGTTTCATTCAGATAGCTTTTAAACTGAGGGACTAGTTTGCGTAGAAACGGACAGGTGGACAGACGGACAGACGGACAGACGGACAGACGGACAGACGGACAGACGGACATGGCTAGATCGACTCGGCTGTTGATGCTGATCAAGAATATATATACTTTATAGGGTCGGAAACGTCTCCTTCACTGCGTTGCAAACTTCTGACTGAAATTATAATACCCTGCAAGGGTATAATAATGAAAAGTTTTATTCAGATAGCTCTGAAACTGCTTAGAATCGGACAGACGGGCGGACCGCTGAAGACGGACGAATAGCGAACGAGTATCGCGAATTCTCAGGAGTATACCCCCTAATGATGTCGTAAAAGGTCCGTAATCGATATATTCCAAAAATGATAGGATTTGCTGCCACGACACCCAGGACAGGTGATTAGCTTTATTATCGTTAATGACTCTGAATCGAAAGTTCCGCGAAACTATCGTTTGCAATGTAATAAACAAACTTTTTGTCTGCTGGGTTCCTCTGATCAAGAATACGTCTGTATGTATGTATGTATTTATACTTTATAGAGTTGTAACTTTTGACTGAAATCATTTGGCAATAATAACTGATTTTGTCCATTTTACTTACATTTAAGCTACTTAGCTTTACTGCGATGTAGGACTCCCTGATCGGTGCAAAGTATTTTGAATGGAAACTAACTATGAACTCATTGGGAACGAGGGCTGTTTCGAAAGCGTAAAGTCCGCAAATTGTACTTATAGTAAATATAATAGTATACACATTCATTTAACTTCTTAAAAGCGGACTAAATGTAGTAAAAATTAGTTTTTGAGGCCACATAAATAAACAAAAAATAAACAGCTGTTTAATGTGAACATGTGCTGCACAAGACGATATACCAAATACATTATATACCAAATCTTAAAATTATACTGAATTCTGAATAAAAAGTCCTTGTTTTTAGCTTTACTTACGTTTGTAGATAATTAAATATAAATAAATAATAAACAAATACTTTTTAGAGACTAATGTCCAGGTGCATTACCTAAAAGCGGAGTTTTCTTTTAAAATTATTTAGTATTTTCTGATAGATCTGCTTGGTTTTTTGCCTTCGTTGATATTCTACCACACTGGAGTTTTGGTCGCCGGCAAAGTTTTTAAGTAAATAGCTAAAGTAAAAGATTAAAATAAGGAAACGAGGGGTAGGTCCACAAGTCCTGGTAGGCTGAATAGATTTTAAGACAACAAAAGGTTTCAGTCCTATTAAGAAACATGATTTGTATGGCCACGAAGGACGAATGGAGGCACCTTTTATACCCTTTGCGAAAGCATCATAAGTTAAGATGTTTGTTATTCTTGGTGTTTTTGCCGGAGCAAAGAGTATGTGTATTGGTTTCATTAGTTACCAGGAGATAATTAACTTCAAATCGGAATACGTTTTGGTTCACTAATTGGTTGGGCAAACTTAGCTAAATTGTAAAGCCAACCTTTAATTACAATAATTTCATCTTATGGACATGAATTTAAAAAAGTATTTTCTTTTCAGAAAGAAGATCCAAGTCCTTAAAATGGAAGAGCTGTGCAACAATTCAGGTCATTCGGCGACCTCCAGTAGTGGAAGTAACTCGTCAATATCGGCCAAAACGGCGTTAAGCGAGTGCTCTGCCGCTTGGATCAACTATTTAAGTGCTTTGAATAATTTATGCACCGCCGGCTCGAAATTGGCCCATTCAATAGCTGTTTTGGAGCAGTGGTCCTTGAGCGAAAAGCCCATGTTCAACAATTATACAACATCTTATTTGACAAATTCCTGGAACGATTTGGCAAGGTAAGAATTCCAGTAATTGCTTCAATATCGACATACAGAAATAAAGTCCCATTGCAGAGCAACAACGGTGGCCACAGGAACAGTAAAGACTCATATGTTGGCTTTGCTGCAGGACTTCGTTACTATATCGACAGTAGATCCATCTGCCAATACGGAGATGGAGCAAAAGCGGTTTAAGGAGCACAACGAGTTGATTGTTTTGGAAAATGCTCAGGCTGTTATCAATATTCAACATCAATTTTGCGCTGCCAGCTATGACGCATTCTCTTCCCTAACATGTTGCTTTGTCTGCCAATCACCAGTGGGGTTCCCCCACGAACAGGACTGCAGTGTAATGAAGCAACGGTAACTATAACTATATTGGTTTTCGTTTAAAAATAGTTTTAATATCGTATTTTTATAGCAATCAGTTCGATCAAAGATCACAAACCCCATCGCCAAATTTATGTGGCGCTAAGGTGGATTCATCCAGGGGAAATTCCCTAACCGATCAACGTCCAATTGCCACTGGAATCTCTGAACCAGGTATAAGGATATATTACGTATTTCCAATATTTATTCGTATTTTCTTTGGCTTGTAGTTGATCAACAACGCGGTCCTTCGCCGCAATTAAACTTTTGCGATGCAAATCCAATGCAAGCCATTTTCGAGCACACTCGCGGCCCCTTGCCCAACCCCGGACAGTTGCTGTCCATGAAGATACCATTTCACCGGAATGTAAAGTCTTCATTAAGCTTTCCACTGTTTCCATTAAACGGCCAGCGCCGTTGGTCAGAAGCAGCTGCCGGGGAGGTCATAGATGGTATTTCTACCGATCCAGAAAGTCAGATGCGAAGGTGGTCAATGCCGTGGGAGGCATCAAAAACCGACAGAAATACTGTAACATGGAACCAAACTAGGATAATGCCAATGAATACTCTAAAGGCTTCGGGCTACAAAATGTCTAGTTCAGAACGATATACTTCGCACAATTCAGGTAATTTCTTAAAGGACCCTTCAGTTGCAATTTTAAAATTCCGTATCAAATTCATTGCAGATGGAAACTGGCCGTTGGCATCAACTAGTCAAGATGGGCTGCTAGAAGCTATTCAATTACTTTCCATCAGACCGACAACCATCACCCAAATAAGTCCTCAGCCCTCGATTCTATCCACTTCTCCGGAAGGAGCCCCACACGATTAAATGCCACCTAATATTAAATTTCTAAATAAATAAAATACATGTGTTGCAGTAACCGAAAGTAAATATATGAAACTTTAGCAGCGTCTTCTTTGGTGTAATAAAACCATTCTGGGTAATCTCTGTTACTTACTTGTGTTTGCCATAAAAGGGGCCAAGGAATCGTAAAAATAGTAAGTTAATCTACTAGTAAAATGATTTATTCGTGCTTTGTAAGTTTGTTATGTATAATGCCATTCATTACAAGTAGGTAGATCTTACACGTTTACTGTAAAGTAAATCTTTCTTTTATGGAAATTATAACACTAATGGGATATTTTCTATGCTTAAGTTTAAGAACACTTATCATTAAAATAAAAGAGTTGTATTTTTATTCTCACGCCCATTATACGATCCAAGTTTTCAGGATGCTTGCGCACTCATAATTACACATATGCATATATTGGGATATACAGACGTATAAACTTACAAAAGAATTATTAATTATTACTACTCCCGGGTTAAGAGATTTATTTTGTATCATACAGTTGTGTCGTTAGTATATTTTCTTCGTTTTCTATGCGTTAATAATGTTATCGTTTGATTATGTTTCTAATGGTATTCTATGAATAATATATCATTTGTAGTATTCTTTATATGATAAATTTTGTATTTTTCATAAAATAAATCCTTTTTACATGAATTTTACGGAGGTTTTCACAAATAAAAGAAAAATAAATATATAACTGACTCTAAAAAAACGATTAAATCTGCTCTTAAAGAAGATAATATGCTTGTATGTGCGTATATACATGAATTTAAATAAAGTTTTTGTAAATATACATTATTTAAATGGTTAATACATTTTGGTTAGGAAAGTTACCCTAATTCTACGAATTTGTAATGGCTATAGTTATATTTTTATTCTCATCGGTATGCCTATAACGTATCTACAATCGTTGAACGATTTGCAATATGTATTTATGTAATTTTATGATTACAGGAGGGTATATACTACGCAATGTATACGTTTAAATTGCTAAGCTTTTATCAGCTGTAAATTGCCATGTCCCTAGCATCGTTTCAAATAGTGTAACTACAAGTGTCCACAATGCAAGATAAAAATCAGTTTACCTACAACAGAAGATGCTTGTGCTTCGGATGAAATAAATAAATTTAATTAACAATTTTACATTTTCGGTGAACTACTGTATGCACGGACTATCTCTTTTGTCTTATAGTATTATGAGAAAAAGGTTCACAAATCGGACAATAAAATAACAGTACCTACGGTGCAACTGTAGAGAATCCGATTACCATATTTTCTATATTCTAGATATCCATTAAAGCGAATGTGTTATTTTATCAACAGTTACTACGCTTATACGATTGAGGATATAAGTATTTTTGTATACCTCGCGATATGTTAAACAATATCCCACAATTATTATTCAAATAAAAATAATACAAAGAAAAATTAAATGTGATTTTTAGTCTCACAACTAAATAAGTAGTCATTATGTTAAATAAAATTTATAAATACGAGGGATATGCATCGTATAAACGTGGTAAAAGTGCCTTACATAATTCAGATATTGATCCGAATAAATTGAAAACTTTAAGAATTCTTGCGGATATATTGTATATGTACATATATGTTTTGTGCAACTTTAAGAACTTACTTTTCCTTAGATTATTTCGAATTCTTTACCACCGGTAATCCTCATGGGATTTTCCTATATTTTATCTACTTTCTGAACCTTAATTAGGAGTATGATTTCTTATCAATATTTAATTTCATTTAGACTGATTTATCTTATCCGTTTTGAAAGTAATTATAATATAATGCGGTACTCAGTTCTTGGATCGGTCTAACTTGGGACTAAGCCTAAGACATTCTGCTCAGAATCTTTACAACAACTTAGAACATTATGAACTATTAATCAATAATTTTAAATTAATTTAATTGGCAAAACCGAATGTCTTTAGTTAAAAATGTAGTTTTGTTAGTATAACGATATAAATAAGAAGTTAAACGAAATAATGTAGAATTATAAAAAAATCAATTAGGAAGAACTAATTTACAAATATTCAAAATCAAATATCAATTATACGTATAAGTATTCTAATGAGATAAGTTTTCTATTGAGATTTCAATACATTAAATACGAATTCTTAACGTACATACATTTAAATTTAATTATTTGCTAAAGTTTTAGTAAGGCACCATTTAAATTATATATGCAAATAGAACCTAGGCGTTATTTTTAAACATTAACGAAAGGATAGAATACTAACATAAATGCGGGTAAAAGTATTCCACAGAGAGTTGGATATATTCTAATATTACTGGAAATTCCCATTTTATATTCCATATCGATGTCGAGGAGTAGATCATGGTTCCGCGTATAAAACTGGTGAATATCGCTGATCTGAAGAGCAAGCAAATACGTTTTACAAAAAAATGCATATATACTAAGCTGTAAGAGTATACCTCGTTCCATCCATATTTGTTTTTGGCCTGAACAATTGCTTCATAGACGGCATTGTGCTCCAAGTTTTTAACGAGATATGACATTAAAAAGTGTGAACCATCTGTCCTTATTGGAGTTGGCTTAATGTGATACTCATGCCATTTTCCAGGATGTTGGTAGGTTTCATTCATCTGAAAAGCGTTATTAAATTATAAATTCGTTAAAAAACACAAATAAATTTTCTTTAATTACCAAAAGACGTCTGTATAAAAGCTTTATCTCCTCCAGCGGAGGTATGGACTCTATTGTCCACGTCAAGTTGTAATGATCTAGAAATCCGCTTAAGGCTGGAGAAATAAAATCAGCTGGACCCGGTCGGCCAGATACCTCAATATACTTTTTTGTTCTCCCCAAAGCATTATCAGCCACGCAGCTATAATTGCCAAAATCTGTTGGCTGGAAGTTTCGAATAATTAGGCTGTACCTATCATCACGCGGATACATTGATCGTCGATCGGTTGGATCCAGGAGAAATGAGTTTTGATACCACAGCATCTAAAAATGAATAAAAATGTGTAGTAAAAAACATAGCAAATACTTTATACACTTAAAGCTAGAGCATTCTATAATTTTGCTAACTTACCTCCGAGTTTACATCGCCATGAACAATGCAAACCAGTTCCACATCGTATCCTTCGGCTGCGTGAACCCACGACTTCTCCACTGTGATTTCAGGTGGAGCTGGAATATATTTTACATTTCATTAGGATTGCAATGGAGGGGCCGACGCTAACTATATATCTTACAAAGAATGGTCAGCTGTATGTCCATGGATACCCGATCTTTAACTCCATTATCAGCTGAACACTGATATGTTCCGGCGTGATGTCGGTCTACATTTTCCAGTATTAGTGTTGAGCTGTCCGACAAGTGAGTTGGTCCGGAAAATACATCCTTCTTGAACCAAAATATTGTGGGCACCGGATTGCCGGAGGCCTTGCACTCCAAGGTAACAGTACTTCCCTTTCGGGCAGTCACTTGACCATTATGTGGAAGAGCCCTCAGCGTAGGCGGAACTAAAGCACACAATAAATCATATTATAAGGTCAAGGGCAGAAACACAATAATCAAATGAATTACCCAAAATTTCTACTGTATGAACTTGGTCGCGATTTTCCTGATCGCCTAGCTGGCATATATAATCCCCAGCATCTTGGGTCTTTACTCCATTTATCTGCAAGTTATAGTCACCAACTATTTTGAAGCGTTGATCCCTTGTTATTTTCAAATGTCCGGCTGTGAGTACGGATGAACCTTTCCGCCACAATAACACAAAGGAGCCGAGGTTCTGTACCTTGCAGGGCAACTCGATGGTCTCCCCGACGATGACCTTGTAGAGGTGACCCCTCGATAAGAATTTTGGCGCTGTAGTGGGGGGGTCATTCTCTGGCAATATGAATGAGCCATCTGGAAAGGGTTAAGAAAGTTCTCTTTTATTAATTGGCCCTTTCATATCTTTTGTCATATCATGAGTCGCTTATTGTATTCATTTCTATATTTTGTGTAGAACGGAAGAAAATAAAGTGAGTTCCTACTGATTATAAATCTATTTTGAATGGAATATAACTTATTTGTGATAATAACGTTCGTTGCTTAAAAAATTAACTAAACTATGAGATAATTCTTCATGTAAGTTGGATTCAAAAACAGGTAATTAAAGTACCTAAAGATTATGGGATTTGCTTTGTTAGGGTTTATGTTTACTTACCTATATAGGTTATTGCAAATGAAAATAAATATAGAACTAATGGCCAATATCCCTTTGTGTAGTTAATCTGAAATGTATAAAGTCATAAATGTTTATATTATATTTATTTAAAAACCTTATTTTTCCCCAACAAGTTTTAAACAAAACTCAAATATTCTGATAACCCCCATGTGATATATTACGCTCTGTGGATGGCAAATAGTTTTAAAATATATTTAACATGTTTACAATAAAATTCCGAATTCTAAGGACTCTGTATCAGTTATTTCAACTTCAGTTATACTAACTGAAGGCTAACAGGTGGGGTGAGGACTTTACCATAGCTCCAAAGGCATTTATGTTAGCTCAAAAAACATGTAGTACACTTAAGGTTAAACAATATAGGAACCAGTAGCATCGGTGATACTAGCAGCAAATAACACAAATGTTATCTATAATATAAACAAAATTATAATATTGGCAATTTCATAAAAGTACATAGTATTAAATTGTAAATTGTAAATTGAGTATTAACTGGTTTTTTGAAACCTTAAAAACCAGCAGCTATAAGACTTTTACAATAAGATGATTATGGGTAGTTTTAACATTAAACCCTTAATCGTTAAATCGTTTTATTATATAGAGTGAGAAATGAAAAACAGTCCGACACACTCAACATATATGTACATTTTATACGATTTATCTTGTAATGTTTGCATCCTTCGCTGAAGTCATATTACCCTTTGCAAGGGTATACACATCCCATGCCTTTAAAGCTTCTACAGTAAATTAAGTTTAGCCTCCCCAATAGGCCATATTAGTCCTTTTTTTCAAACATTTTCTTATCGACGACAATATTTAATGTGCATTATTAATATCATTGACTATACATACAAATACAAATATACCAGGGGATTATTTTTATGTTAGACGCATATACAATATATGTGATATTTAACGAATCAAAAGCCCTTCTAAACAGTCAATAAAAATATTTATTTTACAGATAACTCGCTAGTTAAAAATTACATGAATCGAAATCTTTTCTAAGTGTACAGGAATATATAAGTATGTCTGCATTTAAACGAATACTTATATATATATATCCCCATATATGTACATATGTACAAATATATGTATCTGAACTTTTGCTTATATGGCTCAAATTCAATAATTAACAACATTTTTAATGAGGTAAGTGGACCCCAAGAGGGGTTTCTTATCAGAAAGGACTTCCATTTCACTTTTCACATGTCTTAATACATTTAAAATTGCAGGCACCCATTTTTATTCTTACCATTTTAATGTAATGGTGTATGTACGTATGTATGGCTTGTTCGAATTTCGGGATTCTGTCTATTGAATAAACCAGTTTTTTGTCATTCGTCGACTGTTTAACAAGATCCGATCAACCTTGGCACTGCACTTTATTGTTTGTCACATAAATATCCTTTTTCAAACTTCATTTTCCTTTATAAAATAGTCGCGAATTTAAGACTGCCGAGTATAATTGTATTTATCCTTAAAAGTTATACTAAGGGAGAACCTATCCTAGCGCATGCTCAGACCAGAAATAATTTTGGCCAACAGCTTTAAAGCTTTTCATATAGGATGGGAAAGCTGCGCATAACTTTGCTTTGTTCCGACCAGAAAAGGATATAGGACTTTTTATCAGTTTAAATTTCAGTTATATTAGCTTGAGTAGGTATTTTGATTATGTAATTTTCGTACATTTTTTACTTGCTTACGTTGTTGCTGACTTCCATGGATTGATTTCTGAAACACTATTTGTCTTATTATCCGATTTTATTAAGGAACGGAGAAGATCTAAAACTTACTTAGTGCATAAAGTTAAAAATATATGGGAATTTAGGAGTATATCTCAACGATTGATAAACCGGCAGACCGAATTTGACTAGAAAACCTTGCTCTAAATTTTTAATTAGGCAAACTTTTATATTTATGTATATTTCATATACCACTAAAATGTTTATAGTGCAGATTATTGTTGAATTTTATAGTTTTCGATGACATTAAAGAGAATATGGCAAAAGCCATATTAAAAAATAAAAATATATAGGAATCCTAAGACTGAAGAGACGATTTTCGAAAATTTACTCGTTGTTCCAAATCATCGTAAATTACAGCTTCCTTTGTTAAAAATTATTGTCTTTTTCTCATTTAAAAAAAAAAAAAAAAACAAATTTCAAATTTGTCAAATATATTTTTGCTTCCCGTTGCAAAAAGAAATTATTTAATAACACGCAAGCGTCTAGTTTGTGATATAATTTCCTTTATTAATTTTATTAACTAAAGCTTATAAGAGAAATGAGTCCAAGAAGTCGTACCTATGAGTTTTATTTCTTTTTATTTATGTATTTATTTATTTATGACAAGTTTGAAACATATGTATATATTTATTGCACTTGTCAAAGTAGATTAGAAGTATTTTTCTTAATCTAACATTTTTATAATTTTTTTATTACTTTAATACATTTAATACATTTAAACCATACACTTACCTGCGACCGATTAAGGAAGGATATGCTCCGACACACATCAGGTGGTCAGAGGCAATATCAGGTGCTTGAATATACAGTGGCGAGCAAAACTGAGTGCATGTTTACGAGTCTGACTTTAGGCCATTAATAAAAACCCAACCAACCACACAAGCAAAACAAACAAAAAATTATTATTAATTCATTAATTCATTTTTACTCATTTTAGGAAAGAAACCACAACTTTTCAGATAAATTCAAATACTTAGAATTAATAAACGAAATACTTGATTGCTTGATTGTTGACTCAAGGAATGAAATAAAGACCTTTGCAACAGTGAAATTTTAATTTTTATTTATGTTTTTCTGTTATATAAATTTAACAATGGAAAAATTGTTTCTTTGCATTTAAAAATAAATAATGTTATGGCAAATATATGAAACAAAATCAATAAAAAATTTGTTGTTGGCAAGTGTTGCGATAGTTTGAAGATATTTTCAGCAGTTTGTATGGGAACAGGTGTTTTCGGTTGGAAATATAGGCCACCTATCGCGATATATCGCCGATATTTTCAATAATTCCGTCGTCAAGTTGAAGTCATCCATTTGCTTTCTATTTAGTAGTGCAGGGAATACCCTATATATTTTTATTTGTAGTTGGCCAGCGATACATCGATTCTCCGAAAAACAAAACCGATTTTCCAAAGCAAACGGTTGTATCGATATTGAAATCGATTTTCTCCACATCCCTAGAATGCAATATTTTTATTTACGTGTAATAATTATGAGTGGATGAAAACAAACCCGAAATGATCGTCATAATGTAACAAATCTTACCTTTTACCATTCATAGTTACTCATTTATTTGTATTGCAGTCTGTGGGTCTTGTTATCGCTCGTTCTGGCGGCTGTTATTTCGTTTATCTCGCTGAGACAATTGCTGCTAAGCCGGAAAAAGAAGTTGCACAAATCCTCGGACAATAACATAAATGTTGGCATTTTCCATCCGTACTGCAACGCCGGTGGAGGCGGGGAACGTGTGCTATGGTGCGCTGTGAAAGCTTTGCAGGTGATTTTTAAAATTAAACATAGAACTTGCATCCACATATGTACATAAGGACATACATATGTATGTACATGACATAAAAATATAAGGTGGTTTCATCATATCAATGGTGTCCTTTGGGGTGATATTGGTCTCTCCTCATAGCGCTTGATTAGCTGGGAGCGAGATCAGCAAACTTTGATTGTCGACACCACCTTATAAAATTGCATCATGCCTATGTACGTGTCTTTTAGGGTTCTAATTATATCATAACTGCCATTACTCGATTTTGATTTTAAACTTTAAGCTAAAAATTAAGAATCCTTTTGCATGACAATTGAGGGCATAGAACCTTAATCACCATTTAAATCTGTCTTATTTCTAGGAAAAGTACCCCAACTCCAAAGTAATCATTTACACAGGCGATATAGATGCCTCGCCCAGTTCCATATTACAGAAGGCCAAGAATGTGTTCAATATTTCCGTCGACAGTGACAACGTGAAATTCGTGTTTCTCAAACAACGCCACTGGATAGAGGCCAAGAACTATCCTCACTTTACTTTGCTGGGTCAGAGTATTGGGTCCATGGTGCTGGGCCTGGAAGCACTCTGCAAGTTTCCGCCCGATATTTTCATTGACACCATGGGATACGCCTTCACATTTCCGCTTTTTCGATATCTGGCCCAGGCCAGAGTGGGCTGCTATGTTCATTATCCGGTCATCAGTATGGATATGCTAAAGAGGGTTCAGCAGCGGCAAATGTCGCACAACAATAAAAAGTATGTGGCCAGAAATCCGTTCTTGACATGGACCAAGCTAGCCTACTACCGATTGTTCTCTAAGGTGAGTTGTTATACATTGTGTTCCTCTTTATATCGGTAACGACATTTCGTTTAGATGTATAAATGGGTTGGCTGTTGCGCCGAGACAATCATGGTGAACTCCTCTTGGACCGAAAATCACATACTACAGCTGTGGGATGTGCCATTCAAGACTCATCGGGTGTACCCCCCGTGCGAGGTGGGCCATCTAAAAAAGCTCCAGCACACGGGCAAAAGCGACGAATTCATTATTCTATCTGTCGGACAATTTCGACCGGAAAAAGATCATCCCCTCCAGCTGCAAGCCATATATGAGCTGAGAACTCTTCTTGCCAACGACGAGGCTCTGTGGAGCAGAATAAAATTGGTGATTGCGGGGTCATGCCGAAACGACGAGGACTACGAGCGACTGAAAAATATGCAAGATTTGTCCAAACATCTGTCCCTGGAGAACAACGTTCAATTCAAAGTGAATGTGCCCTACGAAGACCTGCTCAAGTTGTATCAAACCGCGAATATTGGGATACACACGATGTGGAACGAGCACTTCGGTATCGGAATCGTCGAGTGCATGGCAGCTGGGCTTATAATGGTGGCCCACAGGTCGGGCGGTCCCTTGCTGGACATTGTGGAAACCTCTGAGGGGAGTCAGAATGGATTCCTCGCCACTGACGCTGTTGAGTATGCTGATAACATATTAAATATTATTGTTAATAATGCTGAAATGAATGGAATTCGGAGCGCAGCCAGGTACGTACCATAAGCCATTTTGTGTGTTTTTATTAATTGGTTTTTTTTTCAGGGCTTCGGTGGAAAGGTTCTCTGAGCGAGAATTTGAAAAGAACTTCCTGCGAGCTATTTCCGAATTATTTACAAACGCTTAAACCAAACATTTTTATGATAACTAGCATCTGTTGATAGTTTAATAATAAACTTTAAAACCATTGCTAATTAAATTCAATTGTCCTGTTACTTTTCTATTAAGCAGAATTCGCACACGAAATTCTTATCAATGGCACTTTGAAGAAGGGAAAGGTTAATATGTCGAAAAACTGCCCACTTTTCAAAAATATTATGGTGAAACGCCTAAAGTTAGCTTATTGAATTGAATACCATATAATGACATCATTTGAACAATTTTGGTATTAAAAACAGGTCTAGGAGTAATAGGGAATCCCCTTAAAAAGGTGGGTTTTCGGTGTACATCCTAAGTGTCCACCAAAAACATCCGATATCTAAACCCCGATTTTTGACTAAAAACTTACGATAATTTGTTAAATAAAAAATATAAAAATTAAAATGAAAAAATTCCGGACAGATACTCTTGTCTTTGTTTCTTTAGAAATAATTAAAGAATTTATGTTCCAAATTTCAAACTGATTGGTTCAGTAGATTTTAAGTTATCGTGCAAACCTACTCGCAAAATGGCATTTTTGAGGAGAGTGCTTTAAACTTTGTGATGCTCACATTGAACACCAAACAACTTCCGTTCAACTATGCACAACTTCGTCAATTTTGCTATGATCGATGTAAAACTTGGACACAATATTCTTAAGATATTGAGCTTAAAAAAAATTAAATACCTTTACCCCACTTAAAAAAAAAGATGAATCTGGTTATTCACTTAGTCTTAGTTGGTTGCAAACGAAGAGAATAAGTCTTTTGCGTTTTTATGTGATCTAGTGAAGGATTGCTAGGCTTGACTAATACAATCGAACACTTCCGTAGCTTCGTAAATTTTACTATGATCGTTCAGAAACTTTAGCCAAATATTCGTAAGAAACACCTATAACAAGAAATTAAGAAATAAATTCATAAATGAATACCTTAGCCCCCCCCAAAGTGTTTAAGGGGGGGGTAAGGTATTTAATTTTTTTTTTCGTAAATTTTTTTTCATTTTTTATTTTTAAAGTTTAACATCTTAAGAATATTGTGTCCAAGTTTTACATCGATCAGAGTGAAATTGACGAAGTTATGCGGAGTTGAACGAAGGTCGGTTGGTGTTCAATGCATGAGAATCACAAAGTTTAAAGCGCTCTCCTGAAAAATTCAATTTTTCAAATCGGTGTACACGACGATTACAGAAAAACTACTGGACCGATCGATTTGAAATTTGGCACACACATTCTTTAACTAATTCCTCAGGTATTCACGTCGGCCTTTTTGTAATTTTTAATTTTTATATATTTTTAAATTAAGAAATAACGTTTTTTTTTAGTCAAAATCGGGTTTTTGACTTTCAAATTTTCTAAAAAATCACAAAAAAACTAAAAAAAAAAACGCTTCGTGAATACCTCGGGATACTTATCCTTTAACGAATGAGGTATAATTTTTTTAGATCGGATGATCCTGTGGACTGTTAGGATGTACACCGCAAAACTTTTTTTGGAGGCGACTCTGGAGATTCCCTATAACTTCTCTACCTCTAAATATTTTTCAATACAAAATTGATCAAAAATTATTCAAATGTTGTGTTATTATATGGTATTTAATTCATTGTGCTAACTTTAGCCGTTCCGCCACAATAATTTTTTGAAAAGTGGCCTTTTTTGCACCGAATTAACCTTACCCCCCCCTTAAGCCAGCAGGAAATGTTCAGATGAGAGCCAAAACAAAGTGAAACGAATTTTCCTGCTCCTCCCTTTGATCCCCGCTAATGTTTGTTAGTAGATAGCAAGGAGGAAAATCGTCAATTCAGTGCGTAAAAACAAAACATATATACATCAGCCTTTGTTGAATATCTTTATATTTTATATAATATTTAGAGCGACGCGTTTCGCATTTGATATCGCTATGCTTTATTAAATATATCGTTAAATAGAGGTTTAACAGATCTTTTTTTTATTTTGCGACTCAACAGAATCCATTGTAATCTCTGAGATTTTGTACCAAATTGTATGTAATTTTTTTAATTTAAACAAATATTTATATTGGCCATAAGAGTTAAGAACAATAAGTTAAAATAAAAGGTAAATTGAAGAGATTAAGTATAACTTTTAGTTTAACAGTGATCCAAGTTGGGTTCTATCTTAATCTTAATTTCAAAACTCGCCTAACCAATGCGAATCGCATAGAGCAACAGGAATATCTCTTGGACGTGCACCTTCCGTCATTCGCCGGCCAGGCTGGCCAGAAGCTCCTCATCAATGCCATCCCCAGACGGCATTCCGGCCGTGCTGCTTAGGTTGAGGAGGCCCTCATTGGCACCGGGCGAAGGATGTGGCACCGGCGGCTTGGCCTCTGGGTCTGGCAGTCCGCTTGAAGCGACAGTTGCACTAGATGTGGAAGCTGTGGCCGTGCTCAGCTGGTCCGAACTGGGCGTACTGCGTCCACTGGGGGGATTTGTCCCGCTTCCTCGTTGTGAAAGTTTCGGTATCTGGAACTTATTGTGCAGACCTTTGATGAACCCCTCCATACTGGCGGCCATCGTGGGGGAAGCGTACTGCAGGATGGTCATCATGTCGGTGTGATGATCAAATCGCGGCGGAGGCTGTGAGGTGGAGCCACCGTGCGCAGCTGGCGAAACTGCTCCTGAAGATCCGCCTATGCCCACCACAGTGCTACTAGATTTGCGCTGGGAATTGCCGCCACCACCACTAACGGTGGCGAGTCCGCCCATGCTGGGACGTCGCCTAGGGGCGTTGTGTTCTTGGAAGGAGTTTGTGCTGTTGCTCTTTGTAAGCGGCACTCCTCCGCCTGCGCTCGAGCCACTCAATTTGGTGCTCAAATTGCCAGAGGAATTCGCCTTCTGGAAGAGATGCTTACTGGAAGAAGAGCTAGATGCGGCTGTAGCTGCTGCTGTGGCCTTTTTCGAGGCGGGTCCACTGTTCACGCCCGGCTTGAGGCCCGTGTGCTGCTTCTTGGTGGATCCAGATGACCCCGATGAGCCCGCCACAGCTCCACTGCTGCTTTTCGATTTTCCCTGCCCGCCGGCTGAAGAACTGGAGATGGAACTAGAACCAGAGCTGGAGCTGGAGCTCTTGCTGCTACCCGTCTTGTTGATGGTTAGCTTAAGGCCCTCTTGGCTGCTGGGCTTCACCATGTACTCCGTGGAAACTCCGGCCAGAGTGTTGCCTCCGGCGGAGTCCAAACTGCAGCCGCTAGTTGTCAAGCAGCTACTAGGAGGCACCGCTCCCGGCTGCTGTTGTGGCATTGCTGCCGTTGCCGCTGCTGCTGTTGTTGCTTGTGTTGTTGCTAGTGTTGCTGTTGCTGCCGCTGTTGGCGCTGCTGCCGCCGCTGCTGGTGCCCCCGGACCCTGACGCGATCCCAGCAGCGATGTTGGAGGAGCCAATTGCCCCGCTGATGCTGCTGCTACTGGCGCTGCTGTTGTTGTTACTGCTGCTGCCTGGGTTGTTGTTGCTAAAGCTGCCGTCGACGTCATCAAACTAACCTGACAAAGTAAGCATGTGGTTGTGTGCGTGTGAGGAATCAAACGAACCAAAACGAAATACAAATTGAAACAATCAAAATGAATCGATCGTACAAACGTAAAATAATACATGAGTTTAAAAAAGTGCCAGGTTTTCAAAACCATTCGAAAGTTGAGCACGTAAAGGGAGTTGCGAGGAAGGAAAAGAAGAAAGAGAAAAGGGAAAAAACAGAGCAAACCCCGTTAGTAGATACTTGTGTATGTTTAAAAAATGTATTGAGATACTGTTCAGAAGACAATAAATTCAGAATATAAAAGATACTACTCTCTAGTAAGTCTAATAATTGACCAAAACAGAAAAAGTTAACAATAATTTTACCAAAGATCTTATAATAACAGTATTTAATTGTCAAATGAAAACAATTTGTATGCCCCGAGTTTAGAGCGTATAAATCTTAAAACCGAATACGTCTTTATGTACAGATCTAGAATCCTGGAGAATACGGGTATCTAAAGGAGAGTAGCTAGTTCTAGAGTTCTGAGGCTTCTGAACTAAACTATAAAAGAGCCAAAAAAAATGTAGGTAGCAAAACAAATTGTATGGCGTTACCCATCTTGTTATATCAGTTGTCTTTTACTTTATTACAATTTAAACTAAAGGTTTCTGATAAGTGGTAACCCCTTATTTCTACAAAAAGCTCTTGGTATCTCACAAATGCATTATAAGATTCCCCCTTAAAAACTGCAACGCTAATACATGCTCAGATTTAGTCTAGACATCTCTAATATATATATGGATGGCTTTGTTTACATTTACTTTCAACAAAATTCGTAATTCATTTGACAAACTTGAGTTATTGCAATGTTTAGAGATTCTTTATAACTTAAAAGTGCCTAGTTTATAGATTTTGTTTAACCTTAAAAGAGCATGAGGGTGACTGAGATTGCCCGAAGCGTACAAAATTTTAGCCTACATTTTAGTAGTATAGAAGATATTGAAATATTTGTTTGAAATTCAAAGGTAAAAAATGTATTTCAATGCAGTTAATTTGAGAGTTCCCGACCAAAATCAACTGGTAACATTCTAGCAAAGATCAAAGCAAAGTTTACCACGGGGGAATAGTTTTCATCTTCATTACGTTTTGGCAAAGATTTTGTTTACAGTTTCGCATTGAATTTGAAATAGTACATTTCGAGCATCATTCTGAGTTCAATGTCTACGTAATATTAGATTTTGAGAAATATATATTATGTTAGGGCTTTTAAATAAACATGCCAAACGGAAAGGAATAAATACATACATACATACGTGCTCAATGCAGGGATAGTAGTGGTAAGCTTGCTTTTTAAGGATGCTAAAGAGAAGCCCCTTTACCATAAACAAAATTTGGATTTAGTCGAAAATAAAACGGATGCGGCTGGATATAATTAAAAATAGGATACAATATATATTTACAAAAATATATAGGAAAATGAGACACAAACAACAAAATAATAATAACAGAGTAACAATTATCGTCTTTAACTACAGCAGAAGTAGTAGGAAATTACAAAATATATAATTATACAACTAAGGTAAATACAGTATTTGCATTAGTTTAAAGTTAGGGTTCTGTTTGATTCTGCTGCATTAGGTTAGAGGGGAAGTTGGCAGAGAATCACTACGTGTTAGGCTTCCAGTGAGATATGCTGGGGGTGGGTTGGTTGGTGTCGTGTGGAGTGGAGTGGAGCACTTATAATGAAAACGGACTTACCGCACCTCCCGCCATACTCTTCCGCAGGGCACTCAGCTCCATCCCGGAAGCTCCTGCTCCAACTCCTGCTCCCACCACCACTGATGCTGATGCTGCCGGTGGTCCACCCGCTCCCGAGGTGGCCGCGTAGCTGCTTAATCCTCCTCCGGCCGCTAAATGAGAAAGACTGGCCACCGAAGTCTTCAGCTGCTGCTGCTGCTGCGAGGATTTCAAGGCGGCCACTGCAGCCGCTACACTGGCTGGGGAAATTCCTCCAGCGGCGACGGAGGAACCACTTGCAGCCATTGTAGATGAAGAGGAATTGGAACCGGATCCAGAAGACGATTTCTCCTTTTTAACGCTTTGTCCGCTGCTTCCGCTCACTACTGATCCAGTCGTGCTGGTTAGTGGAGGAACTGGAGGTGGTGGTGGCGGTGCGCCCACGCTTGCAAAGGATCGCACAAGACCAGGAGCCACACCAGGACCCGAAGAGGAGGGGACTACTCCAGATGGTACGGCTCCCGCAGAGGATGAGGACTTGTCCCCCTTGGGACTCAGGCTTGTTGCCGCAGTGGCCGCACTTTTCAGCGTGGACATGCTCGGCTTGCCGGAGGATCCGTGCTTTGGAGAGTGGGTGCCAAACGGAGACTTTGGACTATTGGAGGCGGTATTGTGCTTTGGACTGCTATAGACGGGCGAGTGCTTCGGGCTTGGACGCCCCGGAGGCACTCCAGCCATTAGACCCTGACCAGCGCCACCTGCCTTTGGGGACGACGAGGGTGACGAAAACTTTCGCACTACTCCACCCGACGTGGAGCAATCACCACCAGCAGCTGGCGAGTTTTGGCGCGAGTAGATCTTCTCCGGAGGTCCCATCGGTGAATCGTCGCGCTTCTTTTTGCGTTTCTTTTCTTTTTGGGTATCGGAGGAGCTGCTGCTTGTAGAGGACGAGGTCGATCCACTTGATCCGCCCCCACTAGACGAGGAGCCACTGGCAATGCTCTCATGTGGTCGCTTAGTTGCCCCACCTGATCCGACCGTAGTGGTGTTACTCTTCTTCGACGACTCCTTAATGGATTCCTTACCTCCCGTGATGGGAGTGATGGTTATGGTCGTGGCTGCCGCACTGGACGAGGAAGCTGCCCCACCGCCAGCGACAGAAGTCTGGGCGTTAAGTGGGATTATCTCAATGCCACCAGTTCGTTGAACCTCGACGCCTGCGACGACTCCACCAGTGCTTGTCGATCCGACAGAACTTGACTTGCCGTCTCCTGAAATGGGAGTAATGCTGACGCAATGCTTCAGATTCGGGGTCTTGTCCTTCCAAATATTCTTGTACTTGTCAGCAATTTCCTGATCGGTTGTTTTTACGGCGGCCGAGGAGCTGGAGGTGCAGCTAACGGAGGCTCCACCAGGTGAAATGCCAGCCTGGGGATCCGTTTCGCGCTTAAGGTTTATCAAACCGGCGATGGCCGCAGCAGCCGAGGTTGAGGCAGCAAAGGAATCGGCCAGGGATCGCGTTTTCGAGTCCATCTTGAGGTTGTTGATGTTGGCGAAACCACCGCCAGGCAGACTACCATCTGGAGGCGGTGCCGTGTCCATGGTGAACTGATTGAAATTACTGGTGCATCCGCCTCCGCCTCCGCCTCCTACTGATCCTCCGCCGCCGCCTCCTCCTCCGATTGCTCCCGCAGCGCCCGCTCCGGGACCAATAACGCCATGCAGTTTGAACTCGTGCTCCTCGTCCCAGCACTTGAGCAGCTTGTAGATAACCATCGGAATGGAAACCACCTTACGGACAGTGCGGGTTAGTTTTTGCGAGAGCTGCTCGTACTCATTACTCAGGCAGTAGACGCTGCATGTGGGCTGACCGTCTTCCAGAAGGAAGTCCACCGTAGCCAACGACTCTTCGTACGGGTGCTGCAGCTCAACGGTGATCTGATTAAAGGAGACGGCAGTCACCTCAAGTATCACAGTGCTGTCCATGTCTACAAGAAAACCCAAACCAAATTAGAAAAGATGGTTTCAAGACAAAGAACCCTGTGTGTACATACCATTATATTGTTTTTGCTGCTCGCGAACACAGCTCGCTAGAAGCGTATAAAACAGTGCCTGCTTCTTCAGGAACGCCACGATCCGCGGCACTTGGGCGGGCTCCGTGAAGGGCAGCGAAGACACAAGCGTGCCCTGAAGTTTACGGTTGTCGGTAAAGAAGTAGCAGTGCGTTTCCTTCGGCAAATTCACATACAGCCCGCGCTGTGTGTTCCTAATCGCCTGCTTGGACGCAGTCTGTACAATTAGATTGAGCACTGTTGTGGGCGCCGTGGGGGGTGTAGCCATCGCATCCAGCCCGGGTAATCCCAATCCCTTCAACGACTCCAGGCACACGGGCATTGGCTTGTTAAGACGTAGCACATATGTAGCCGGCATTAGCAGGGAGTTGTTCTGGTTGAGCTGAGCGTATGTGGGGACCTCTAGGCCCGTTTGTGCATCGCGTACGAACGACACCGTGGGCATAGTCTGCAGTTTGTTTGCAGAAGAACCTTCCAGGTTGACGGTGGCACTCAAGCCGTGACTGCTACGCATCACTTTATCAATGCTGAAGTCCCCACTTGCCAACTTCGGGTCACCCTCCGGCAGGTGAAGGGGCGGGCAAAAGTATGTTAGCTTCATCGGATGCCCTCCCCGTCTAGGCAGCACCAGTCCGACGGAGGAGCTGGTCATCAGGGCATAGCTGTCGCTGGAGTGATTTTGTAACTGCATCTGGTAGAGGCTCTGAATGTCCGTTTCCAAAGCCTGCAACGCAACAAACGCTTTCTTCTTAACCTTCGGCTCGGCGTTCAGCTGGTATATAGAGGAGAGACCCTCTAACTGGACCGTAAAGTCTGCGAAGTCGCCGGACTTCAGGCAAGCCACCAGTTCGCTGGACTGTTGCTCTATCTTGCACTCGTGGTGCACTTTGACGTCTGTCAGACTTCCTGCGGCGTCCAGTAGGATCTCGACGTAAAACATGTCGGTGGAGATGAACAGTAGCTGCTGGTCCTCCATGAATTTTAGGCCCAGCTGCCTTGAGAGGCTCTCCAGCCGTTCGACGAGGCCATGGCGCGATGTCACCTTAATGTAGTGCTGCAGCTTGTCTAGCGCCGCCTGCAGCGTGGCCTTGCATAGCGGATCTAGCGGATAGTGTTTCTCGATGAAGTACATTCGCACAGACTTCTTGATCTCCTCGTACGTCTTGGGCTTGTTCCTATACTTTGCCCGCAACTTCTCCATCATCGTCTCCTGCTGGATTTGTTTGTTTTTCTCCTCGATGCTGGGAATGAGCACGAGGTTCCCAAAGCCTATTAAAAATAATATTAATAATGAAATTCGCACACCTATCATGGTTGTGCTCACCAGTCCCCGAGGATTTGGCATTAGAACCGCTCATCTTGATGGCTTAAAGTGAATTTTCCTTGACTAAGCCAAGCTTTGGGCTTGAAGGCGGCGAGGCCTTCGTAATATATTAATGTATACGTTTTCTTTTCCGTTTAATTCTAATCGAAAAAGAGCCGAAAATTTTTTCAACGCTTAAACAACAAAATGGCTGATATTTTCCGCGAAGTGTGACCGTTTCTTTAATATGCCATAACGTCTCATCGAAAGTTTATAAGTGGTGCGAAAATATCGATTACCGCGGACATCGATTTTTCCGATGTTAAAAGAAATGCATTAATAAATTAAATTAATAAAACAATCAACTATTCAGTGAGTTTAAATTTTAAAATAAAAAAATTATCCAAAATGTATGATAATAAATAGATAGCAATAGAAGATCGAACAGAGCTTTTTAAATTAAAGCCTAGTACTCTGACGAGAAAAAACCGCTGTATAAATTTAGACAGCGGCCAAACTCCATATAAAAAAAACGGTGTCGAAAAAAAAGAAGAAGAACTTTTAGACACGTCGTTTTTTTCGGTACTCTGACGACGAAAATGAAGCCTGCGAAAATTGAATGGCGTTGCCAGATCAAGATAGTAAACAGCTGATATCGCGCTGTCTAAATAATTCATTTGATTTATTTAGACACCCCTAATGGAGGGAAATTTGAAGGAAAAAGGTGGAATTGATAGGGGCTGTCAAGGGGAAGCCCATAATATGGAATTTAAAGCCTAGTACTCTGACGAGAAAAACCCGCTGTCTAAATTAGACAGCGGAATCGCTGTTTATTTCGCTACCGAGCTAGTGTGACCAAAAAAATTAAGGAAATTCCATGAAAATGTACTTTTTATGGCGTTTAAGGATTTTCCTTGGTCATACTGGACAGCTGTTTGTAAACAAATATTCAAAAAAAATATTAAAAATATTAATAAATATGGCATTAAAATGTCCTTTGTGGGTTAAATTCCATATTATGGGCTTCCCCTTGACAGCCCCTATCAATGCCACCTTTTTCCTTCAACTTTCCCTCCATTAGGGGTGTCTAAATAAATCAAATGAATTATTTAGACAGCGCGATATCAGCTGTTTACTATCTTGATCTGGCAACGCCATTCAATTTTCGCAGGCTTCATTTTCGTCGTCAGAGTACCGAAAAAAACGACGTGTCTAAAAGTTCTTCTTCTTTTTTTTTTCGATACCGTTTTTTTTATATGGAGTTTGGCCGCTGTCTAAATTTATACAGCGGTTTTTTCTCGTCAGAGTACTAGGCTTAACCCACAAAGGACATTTTAATGCAATATTTATTAATATTTTTAATATTTTTTTGAATATTTGTTTACAAACAGCTGTCCAGTGTGACCAAAGAAAATCCTTAAACAGGATTTTCCTTAATTTTTTTGGTCACACTAGCTCGGTAGCGAAATAAACAGCGATTCCGCTGTCTAATTTAGACAGCGGGTTTTTCTCGTCAGAGTACTAGGCTTAAAGATCAATAACGGTTGTGATTTAGTGCTGTCGCTAAATCATCGATAGTCTCCGATGCTTCCATCGACGGCTCTCCACCTCTATTGTTTATGCTATTGTTGTTAAGTTAAATAAAATGACGTCCATTGCCGGAGGCCACGGCGAGCCGAACCCGAACAGCTCCTGGCTGAGTGCCCGCGGGTTCTGGCTGGCCTACCTGCTAGGCCTGCTGTTGGTGCACCTGCTCTTCTTATCAGTGCCATTTGTCAGCATTCCATGGGCATGGACGGCCACCAACCTGCTCCACAATGCGACTCATCTGTACTTCCTACACGTCATCAAAGGGGCTCCTTGGCTGAGCACGGAGAACGATCCTAGCCGACGGTGGACGCACTGGGAACAGATTGACGACGGCGTGCAAATGACAACCACCCGCAAGTTCCTCACAGCCGTTCCCATTATTCTGTAAGTGTAAAATATCTATTGTTTTTAAAGTTTATTCCAAACTGCGGATCCGAAGCCCGGAAGCTATTCTTTAGTGTCGAGGAATAATTGTAACTCTTTTGATTTTTTTCAGTTTTCTACTCACGTGCTTGTACACTCGGAACAACACAGAACACTTTATAGCCAACTTCATATCACTGGTGGTGGTTACGCTTCCTAAATTGCCGCAGTTCCATGGAGTGCGATTGTTCAACATCAATAAATACTAGGACCCGTGCCATATATTCGGAATTAGTTTGTTGAATTCCTGCCTTTTCGTGATCAAGGCACTTTTGTACTTGATATATAAACCGTGTAAATATTCCCAAATAAATATATGTACATAAACAATGGTTACATTGAACTACAGTATGAAAGATTTTGAATGGCTTGTACAAAATAATAAACGAAAACACTTTTTAAAAAGGAATAATAAAGGGAATAATAACATTGACGATTGCGCTTTCAACTCACATGTCTTATAAAATACAATGTTATGGCAAATATTAGTAATTTATTTGGTTTTAGGCCAATTTGACGAAAGACGACAGACGATATCTTAGAAACCAATGACAAATTTTTTGTTTAATATTAATATTTTTAAGGGAAAGCGATAGGAATTTATTTACCAATAAATTAAAAAAAAAGAATTGAATGTATTATTGCGCTTTCGAGTTTATCACATCAAAAACTTTCAAAAATTTCTTAATAAACGTCAAAGATTAGTCGTGCCTCGAATATATCCAAAATTATTTGTTTTGTATATTTTGACTTTTGTTTCTACGTTATTTTTATACCCTTGCAGGGTATTATAATTTCAGTCAGAAGTTTGCAACGCAGTGAAGGAGACGTTTCCGACCCTATAAAGTATATATATTCTTGATCAGCATCAACAGCCGAGTCGATCTAGCCATGTCCGTCTGTCCGTCCGTCTGTCCGGGTGTTTTTCAATATTTTTGCATCATGTTTGAGATATAGCCATTTTATATTATTACAGCATTTTGGTACAATTTTTATGAAAATCGGACCACTATATCTTATAGCTGCCATAGGAACGATCAGGAAATTAATAGAAAAAAATTAGAACTTCGTTGTTTTTCAACGTATTTTAATCTACTTTGGTACATGAGCTTTTGGTATTATTTCAGAATTTTGAAAACAATATTATGAAAATCGGACAACTATATCATATAGCTGCCATAGAAGCGATCCGTAGATGTAGAGCAAATGTAAGGCTGGGAATGTAAAACTGTAACTGTCAAACTTCAAACATAATAAGTATAGGTAAAATGTTATAAAACTCTGTTTAGTGTCTGTTTTCGGCATTATTATTTATAATATAAATATCAAAACCAATCTGCAAGGGTATACAAACTTCGGCGTGCCGAAGTTAGCTTCCTTTCTTGTTATAACTTTAACTTTAAAAGTATATCGGAGTAATCTTTTTAAAAAAGGATCTTCAAAGGATTGAGCTGGACGGACCACTGAAAATCACGTTTGCATTTCAAATTCATGTCCAACGTTTTTAGTAAAAACTGAAAAAACAAGAAAGTTAAATTCGGAACGCCGAAGTTTGTATACCCTTGCAGTTTGCAATTGGATCTTTAAGAATCGATCCATTCTGGTCAATTTAATAGAATTAATTAAAGGAAATCTATAAAAGTTGTATATACATAGCATGTAATTTGGGTTTGATAAAATTAAAAAAAAAAAATTAAAATGATATATAAATAAAATCGAAATTCTGAAATAATAAAAAAAGCTCATATCTCAGAGTTGATTAACAACGAAGTAATAATTTTTTCTATTAATTTCCCTATCGATTTCCATAAAATTAAAATCAAAATTCTGAAATAATACAAAATGGACATATCTCAAAAATTATGAAAATATGTTGAAAAACAGCCAAGTAATAATTTTTTTTTCTAAACATTTGTCGATCATTGGTATGGCAGCTATAGTCGTCCGATCCGGCATATATAGCAATGAGAGTATTCAGAAGACTATATGCAAAGTTTCATTCAGATAGCTTTAAAACTGAGGGAACAATTTAAGTAGAAACAGACAGACGGACATGTCTAGATCGAGTGGGCTTTTGATGCTGATCAAGAATATATATACTTTATAGGGTCGGAAACGTCTCCTTCACTGCGTTGCAAACTTCTGACTGAAATTATAATATCCTTCAAGGGTAGAAAAAACGCAGTGCAACAACGAGATCTTTTCTTGTAAAGCCTTGCCAAAAATCCATTCTTACTTATGCGGTCTAGAATTTAGTCATAACCGCCTGTCTTTTTATTTATTTATTCATTTATTTTGCCAAAGGTTTTTTTTTTAAGGCCAAACGTATTGGGTACCAGGTATCTACCAGTTCTAGCAGTCAAGCTGTAATAGGAGTGGTTGAGTGGCACTTCCACCTCTTAGGGAAGATTTGATTCTCTCTTTAAATACATTTGTGTTCCTTTATCATAACAAAGGCAATGCACAGCCATGACCCATTTTCTGACAAAAGATAAATAATTTGGCAAAAATATTTTTCAGACCGATATAAAATACAAGAGCGTTGATAAGAAAACTTACTCAACCTTGAAAATTGACATAAAAGAGCTCTGCTGACTTCATTCGCACCAAAAAACAGAAAATATAGCGTTTTACCATGCCATTTGAGTCGAGCCTCGTTATATATCTGCTACTACTCGCCGGAGGCTTCACTTTCATCCAAGGCGTCGACTTTCCGCAGTGCGAAAATGTGGAGTCCAACACCTTCGTCATGGCCATCGATGATTGTGCCTCTTACATCTATTGCAACGGAGAGGACTCGTTCAGGGACAGTTGTCCGGAGCAGACATATTTTGACGACAGAACCCAGGAGTGTGCCTTCGACGATGCTGGGGTGTGCCTAAGAGGACCAGAGGCGATCGTGACAGAACAAGAGGTAGAGGAGAAGGACCCGACACCTAGTGCGGTTTCACCTGCCCCTTCCGGGGATACCACTATTGGCCCTTTTACGGATTCTCCGGCTGCCGCGCCATCCTCTCCGACCGTTAGTCGTCCGCATTGCGAGTCGGTGGGCGATGCTGTTCATCCGCATCCCCAGCGCTGCGAATACTACTATCGGTGCATCAGCGGTTACCTGACCATAGTGCGGTGTCCTTACAACTACGGATGGGACTTTGCATTGGAGCAGTGCAGACCGAGCACCGAGGCCCGGTGCTTCAGCTCATAGATCTAGATTTAGGACTGGGATATAGGGTTTGGGCTAATCTGGGATATGGGTGGCTTCCAAACTAGGGCGAAGCTAACCCGAATCGAGGCGCGCACAGATGACAATAATAAATAAATATTTGTGGCATTTTAATGAATTGAAATGCGGATTATGAAGGGGCAGGGTGTGCTCTTGCAGCTGGTTCCGTCTCCATCTGGCGATTCCATTTGTATTTGTCAGGCATAATTCAAATCCAACGAGCAGGTACGAATTTATTTTCGGCCAACACTGTCGACCGGCAGCGGCTGCTGTCGCCTCTTCCACATTTTATTGCAAATTAATAATGCACACGAAGCAGCGCAGGTCTCATTGCTCCTTGGTCGTGTCAATTGTGTCTAGAGGCGGCGTGGACGGACGCAGTTCCCGATGATGCCCTGATGATGATTTGCCGCTGGCAAATGTTCTGATTAACTAGCTGCGGAGCAGCCAATTAATTTGGGTAAGAGGCGAGATCGCGAGTGCAAAACCGCCAAGATTTCTCTTCTCTTCAGCGGTTGTTGCCTGCTCATTAATTAAAGAACATGGAAGCGAGAAGCTGAGAGCCGAATTCGAATCCGCTAAACAAATGGCAGCACACCGCAGCAGTAACACCAGCAACGGCAATAGCAACAAGAACAATATTTGGGCCAGCGGCAGAGCAATAGCAACACCAACAGCAGCAACAACAGCAACGACAACCGCAGCATGAGATAGAGGAAAATTGTCAAGAGATGGACATTCGAAAAATAGAAAATCTCCAACTAAAACGAAAGAATTGAAACATTTTCGGATTTTTTCATTTCAGATGCGAGCAGCTAACGGTTAACAAAGGTACGCGCTCGTTCCGTCGCGAAAATCTCAAAAGGGAAAATTCGAAATTTCGACAGGGGAAAATGGCATTAGGAAAACAAATGTGAAAAAAGAATGTGAAGGATGCTTTAAGATAAAATAGATACCGAGTGAATAACGAATTCAATAAAGTTGTGTAATGTCAATCGTAGTTGAAAAGCAATACGCTTTTTAATATGGATAATAACGGCCAGAGTGGGACTGAAATGAACGTGTCGCGAAATAAGTTGGAAATACATAAATATGATTTGATGGTCGGCACGAGTATTCCATTGGCACATAAGAACATAAGAAGGAGATAAACGTCCTCGGTCGTAAGGGTTGGCCGCAGCTCTATTATTAGACTCCCCCAGGGGTGGTGATGTTGGGCCACTGGATTATGCGTGAATCACAGCCACATATAGACCGCTGATCGTGCGAATTCTATAATGATATCCAAATACCTAGATCTCAGGCACCGTTGACACGAAATTTATGTGCGCCACATTTCATGGAACAAATAAAAGTTAAACAACAACACACGCTGGGGCGAAGGCTTAAGAGTGATTTCTTTTCCTCCAAATTATGCTGATCTTCTGAGGAAGCGGGTGACGGAAAGACAAGGCGTATGAGTGATTATGTGTGTAAATATTACGCATCAGCATCAGCAGAGTACGATCTAAATCGAAATGAAACGATTGCGAAGTGCTTTGGAAAAAATAGTCACGGATGACAAAGGCAGGCACTTGGACAACAAATCAAAATAGACAGCCTGGCGAGAGCGTTTAGCATAGATCTTTATTTTTTGGATGGCTATTTAAAACGCCGAAACAACAACAGCAACCAGCGGAGGAGCAAGACGGAGGAGGACGGCGGAGCTGAAAGGCTGAAAAACTAATTTCGGAAAATCAAGTAAAAACTGAGCGAAATACCAAAGAGTTACGGAAAAGAAGGCTGCCTGACTGTCACGACACGTTCTTGTGTGAACGAGCGCCAAAAAGGCCGAGCCGCCACCTCAGCACCTCAGCACCACCCATCCTCCATTCGCCATCCATCTATCCCATCCCATCCCATCCCAGCCCCAGGCATCCATTGTACCCCATCAGGCAACCTACACCATCCATCGTCTCTCAATAGAGAAATGCTTAGATGCGATCTCAGTCCTATGTGCACACATAATGGAATGAAGAAAATTCCGTCCGTCTAAAGCGGCAATAGCAACAATTGCACGCTGGGCTAGCTGAGATGCCTCCGATGCGGACACCAACACGGACACAGACTCGGACTTGTCACTTTGCTGCGATTTGCATCGAGTTGCTTTGCTTTGGTTTGGGTTGGGTTGTTTTTGGGGGGCCTCCAATGGACGGCGGTGCAGCATAGACAGAGAAATCTTTAGCCAGCTTCGTGGTCTGGCATCTTAAAAATAGCCCTCGGACAAAAGTGTGATGATTGTGGCCACTGTCCCCTGCCCGTGCACTATAAAGATCCGAACAATGGAAATTGCCAAATTTATAGTGCACCCAGAAACCCACAGCAATATCGTCAACAGCAACAACTACAATCCCAGGCCAGGCCAGCCAAGGAAAACTTATTTTATTTAAATAAATTTAATTTAATTGCCAGCAAAGAACACAAATAACGCTGGGCGTGTGCGTGTGTTGGTGTGTTTTTATTGTAATTTCGATCCGTCAACTGGGCACAACCGGGCCCCGGTGCCAGCCGAGATGCCCGAACGCGTTGCCTAACTACTGGGCGCTTGTTAACTTGGTCAACGCAGCTCTGATTCTGATAGTAGGCAGCCCAGAGGATTGAGTGCCGGAGCAGCGATAAAAATCTGGGCAATATTCCCATGTGCCTTGGAGGAGCGCGCAGCCTCCCGGTCCCCTCCGCCACCAGAAGAATCAAAATGCCTGGCTGTATGAGTAATAGTCGAGATGCTACGACACAATACGTATACGCGCTGTGGTGCGAGGAAACAGCAGTCAGATAGACAAACCGTCAACGCTCTTCGAGGCACTCTGCTCTGGTCCGTTGAAGAACCGCAAAATAAAACGAATAAGTCGAAAAGAAACGACAAGGAAAGTGTGTGCGACAAAACGCTCAATAAATAAACAAACGAAATGGCAAACAAACAAATTATGAAAAACGAAAACAACGCCGAGTGGCGAGAACAAGGCGACGCGGACAGATTTTGTTTACCTCCCTGACATCCCACCTGACATGAATGAAAATAATATTTGTGGTCTACTAATTAGATTCCCCCTCTGTTGCAGCAGATCCATGTGATCCACCCCAGATGAATTATGGAACATGTAAATAGCACTAATACCAGACAACCGCACCATCAGCACCAGCACGAGCAGTTGCAGCAGCACCAATTCGAGCAGCAGCTGCAGCACAGCGAGAACCAGCAGCAGTTCTGCCTTCGATGGCACAATCACCAGGTGAGATACTCCAACCAAATCCCACATTTATCCCCAATATGCTGCCTTCAATGGGGTGGTGCTCAAAGCAAAAAACGGAATTCTTCTCTTCGTTCACTGCGCTGATCTTTTGCCAGAGAATCATCTAGGGGCTTGGCCTCAGCCATAAAACTGGACTGGACATCGTTCACTGAAGCGAGCGCACCGAGCGAAATGTCGCCCCTTCTATATATATCCCGAGATACGTACAGATTCACACATAGTTTTCCGCATTTTCATATAGTGACAATTTTTGCTTTCGACGTTTACTAAGGCGGCTCAAAGAGTGCACAGAGGCGTAGGGGAGGCGATGGCCGTCCAAAATAGCGGAATAAACCATAGGGAGGGGGGTTCGAGCCTGGGGAGAGTCAAATAAATGGAAAGATTCGTGCAATTGCCAAAATCCAAAGAATTTCCACTGAGAGTAGATCACTAAGTTTGCGAGCAGCTGCATCCAACCACATCCCATCTTCACCAGAGCATCACCCTTCCCAGGGAAAGTGTATTTTTATGATCGGATGACCCACTTACAAGTATTTCTGTCTTCCCTTCTGCTCCCCTGGCTCATCCCTTCCAGACCAGTTTGCTGAGCACTTTGCCGGTGCTGCTGGACCAGTCGCATCTGACGGATGTGACCATCTCGGCAGAGGGCCGCCAGTTGAGAGCACACCGCGTTGTTTTGAGCGCCTGCAGCAGCTTCTTCATGGAGATCTTCCGTGCGCTGGAGGCCAGTAGCCACCCCGTCATCATCATACCGGGCGCCAGTTTTGCAGCCATTGTGGCGCTGCTCACCTTCATGTACTCTGGCGAGGTGAACGTTTACGAGGAGCAGATACCCATGCTGCTGAATCTGGCCGAGACGCTGGGCATCAAGGGACTGGCCGATGTCCAGAACAACAACGTAAGTACTGCCAGAAAGCACAACCGAAAATATAAAGAAAAGCTAGGGAATTATTGTCATTATTTCATTATAAACACAACGACTCGATGCAATTTTGTTTGCTGCAAATGGTATACAACTTTAATTATATTACAATAATTTAAAGCATGGCGTTTCGACTTCCCTTAAATAAGATGCTCATCTGTTTAATATTTACGACAATATCTAAATGTACTTAAAAGGCAAGGTATTATAATATAAGTCCGAAATTTAAATTCCTACCGCATACCTTTATAAAGTAAATATATTTGTAGAATTTAACTGTATTTAACGATATCAGAACTTCAATTTTATTTTGATAAAATAATGGCTAAGGGAACCAAGACGCCCAGCCCACTGTATGGAACGCATATCCACAGAGTGACAGAGCCTACTGCATGGCCTTGTTTTATGCCTTTCAATATCGTTTTTCATTGACGAGTTGCACATAAAAGAGCCCAATAAACATTTCTCCAGAACATTTTCGTCTTGTCCGACATTTTAATCTTATCTGCCTTTGAAATATGTATGTATCTTAAAGTCCTAGTCTTTTACGGGTCGATGGACTATTTTGCTATTTTGCGCTCACTTATTGGATCGTTAGCAGCGGATTTAGGCTTGAGAAAATTTTCTTTAATTCCCGTAGAAATATTGTGTTTTCATTAAGCGTTGTTTTGCGCCTATTTTCAAGATATTCACGTTATTATGTTTCTTCAGCTTGGCAATTTTATATTAAACAGTTTGACACAACACATTGAACTCATTTGCAATTTCATGTACTTTAATTCCTTCGGTGAACTTTGCTACTATTAAAGACGTGACCTATAAATTTAGTTACATCGGCCTTTTTACCGATAATTTAGATACATTTTAATTCTTATTTTTTTATTAATATTAATATTATTTTGTCAAAATAACTTTGCCGAAAAAATTAGATGTCTGCATGCATTCCTACTAGCATAAAGTGAATGCTAACGGTAAGGCTTCATATAATTTGATATACATTGAGCGCATTATTTTATCACCAGTTTTTAAAGATTTTGAGCAGAGCTATGCTAAATAGTCATACCAAGGTTTTTTCAAAATAATGGTGCCGACTAGTGTACTTGTGGTAAATGTATTGGAAAATAGAATGAAAAGTGAAAAACTTTTTACATTTTTAAACGAATACGCATATTATATAAAATAGCTGTTGTGTTACAATTTAAAAAGGGTTTAGATTACATTAAATAGCTGCCAAAGAAGCGATCGATAGATTGTTTGTGTTTCATTTGAACAAACTAGATCGATTTAGAATTCAATCAAATCAATTCAATTGATAACTGCTAACTATACAAACGTTGACTTCCCGAAGCTAGCTTCTCTATATATCCATGGCACTGAGCATTACATTACGATTACATCGTCTCATTCACCAACACTCTTTATAAATGCAAACCTATTAGACTTTATATTATATTATATCAAAGTTTCTAAAATAAAAATACCTCCGACACATATATAGAGTATGTAGCACTTTGTTACTGTGATAAATTGCAAGGTCAATCATAAATAATGTATCGGAATTGATTTTCACACGGACAACTGTCCTTTGTCAGTTCGTTTTTTTGTAAATAACCAACAAATGTCCATAAATTACATTTACATTTCGTTTATAAGAGCGAGTTTAAGAGTGCTCTAGTAAAGTACGAATTTCCTCTATGTATTAAAATACTAATCTTTGATTGGGAATCTCTTTTGCAGCTACCAAAGACAGCGCGAAGTGAATCAGCCTCCTACATGAATCCGTCCAACGAGAAGTCGTCAGAGTTCGAGCGTCCTACTACGCCTTCGCCCACGCCCACACCCACACCATCTCACACGCCCACACCTGCCCTGCCCCTACCCCTGTCCCAGATGCCCAGTCCTGCTCTGACCACCCCTCTGTTGGCCAACAAGCTGGGGTCAGTGGGGTCTGCAGCCATGGGCACGACGCCCCTGGAAAACCTTTTTAAGTCGCTCCAGTTCTACCCCAGCCTTTTGCCTCAGCCACTCAACTTCTCTCAAACGGCACTAAATAAGACCTCGGAGCTACTGGCCAAATACCAGCAGCAGTGCCAGCTTTATCAAAGCGGGGTGCAGGAGGATCTCCAGGAGGCAGACTGCTTCGCAGCCAAGCGACTCAAAGGCGAAAGTCCTCCCAAGGAGTTCAGGCGGCTGGATAAGAGCCTGGCCAAGGCCCCGAAAAGTGCTTCAGCCAACAGCAGTAGCAAGTCCCCACCGGTGTCCGCCATAATGGCCGCCTCGCCAGTTACTCTCGCTCCCTCGGCAATGGCTCACTTCTCCCCCCAGCTGCCGGTGGCCAAATGCTCCTCGGTCAGTTACCCCAGCCCCGTGAGCCAAGGTCAACTGTATAGCAACAAACCGCCGCTGTACAGTGTCGCTGCTACGCCCACGACAGCCCAGCAGGCGGCCCAGATGCACCACCACCAGGTGCCGGCGGTCACGCCCTACATTTCGCCTGAGGACCATGCCAAACTGCAACTACACATTGAGCAATACCAGAGAGAGGCCGCTGCTGCAGTAGCCGCCGCCGGGGGAATGGCCTTAGTCAGTGCGAAGTCGGAACCCAACCTGCTTTCGCTTGGCGCCGATCGCGACAAGCCGCTGCCCCCCGCCGCCATAAAGCCACCGTCCAACTCCAAACTCTACGCCACTTGCTTCATCTGTCACAAGCAACTTAGCAACCAATACAACCTACGCGTGCATCTGGAGACCCATCAGAATGTGAGGTAAGTCGGAACATAAGCAGCTACTTGCTAAAAGTGCTACGCCGAAAAGTATGTTAGGATTCAGGTTATACAAATTAGTCATCTTTAAGGATTATCTACAAATCCATTCAGCATACAATTAGCATTTTCTATGAAGACTTTAAAATCAGATATCACTTAATTGGCTGTTCTCCCTTTAGATACGCGTGTAATGTCTGCTCCCACGTGTCCCGCAGTAAGGATGCCCTGAGGAAACACGTCAGCTACCGGCATCCGGGAGCCCCGTCACCCTGTGAGAACGAGGCTAGGCGAAAGCGAGTCTCCAAGTTGACGGCAACTTCTGCGCAGGCAGCCACCACCATGCCTGTGCCCGTCAGTCATACAGTGACCAGCGGGGAAGTGGGTACAGCGACAACGACAGCGATTGGGTGCCCTGGCCATGAGGGACGAAATCCATACCTCTTCCTGCCCAATCAGTTTCAGATGGCGGCCGCCGCAGCCGCCGTGGCAGTTGCCGACTCCTCGCCACCCACTGGCCAGTCATCATTGGACTTGGTACCCGAGCCGCCGCCAGTCGTTAAGAACGAACGGGAATTGTCGTCCGCCAGTAATGGAGAAGCGACAGGCGTCGAGACCACAGCGGTGGCCACCTGAAGAAAATATTTGCTTCAATATCAACATCAATTTTTCAGTTCACCTCACTTACGCACCTACAAGGAACATCCCCGCCCATGCAGTAGTGTTGTCAAGCTCACAATTGAGTGAAAGAGTTGGACCAACGACCTTATAATGGCAAGAAGCATGAGGCCCATACACAGCGATAGCACAAAGTTGAAAGCACGAGCGTCGAAACGAAAATTTCGACTGCAAAAATATCGTACGGCGTTACTCATCTTGTTATTATAAGGTCCTTGGTCATGCTGTGCCCAACACTGAATCTATTAGCCCCACCGAAACCAACGTCTTAGACCCGGCTGTGATAATTAGCGCAATTCGTTTTCGTTTTCTACACTTACACATGCGAGCGCCTTTCTATCTTAATTTATAATTATACTTTTAGCACAAATTTACGTTTGATTTTGCCGAGCTCCAGCCTGCTTGAACCGACAAACGTCGAGAAGCCGGCGGTCGCATTGTGCTCCTTAAACTGTAGCAACCTCCGAGGCTATCGAACTGCAAGTTACAATTACCTTTCGCTTTCACACGCCCACACATTCTAGTATACTAAGCAAAGTTTTATATAAATATTGTAATTATATACACACCAGAACACGTACACACTTTTGCACACAAAAAGACAGGGTGAAAGCCTACGACACTAAAGTCCCAAGTTAAAAGGAAATAAATGTTTAAGACAGACGTCCTCAGTGTTTAGATGATCGGCGATCGAGAATAAGCAGAGCTATGCAAAACTAGTATATTTCATTTCATAATACAATAATTTATGTACGCTGGCGTACTCTACATATCTTTGTTTCACTTTCGCAGTTCAGATAGTATAAAAAAAGTTGCTCGGGCAGCACACAGACAAAAGGTTGAATATCCATGATATGATTAGCAAACACTTTGGGCTTAAACTTAGAGACATGACAAGAGGTGAGCGAAGGGACAAAATAGACATAAATAGCTAATGTAAACTGTTGCACTTAAATGAAATGAAGCCAGGGGGCGGCCAACTTCTCTCCCTGGATAAGTAAAGCTGCGGCATTTAGATGGTCTCCACGTGCCACACCTTGGTGTTGCAATCTTGGCCAGTTGAGATCACAGTGTTGTTATCCAGCCAGACCAAGCGAGTGATTTGAGACTGCGGATGGGCATCTGAAACGAAGGGAGGGAAGGTGACAGGTCACAGAAGGGCCAACTCTTACGTCCACGGAAACCTACTCTTAATAATGGTGTGCTTAGCAGGGTTGGTCACCGACCAGATGATGATGGTGGTGTCCAACGAACCACTGGCCACCAGCAGGGAGTTCGGCGACCAGGCCACCGTGTTGACGCGAGCACTGTGGAAGCCCCACTCCTTGTTGTGGGCAGGCTAAAAGAGCAGAGACACAGATTTATAGATGCACAATATGAGAAACATCTCTAACAGTACTCACCTTGTACTCATCCACCGAGTAAAGCACCACCTTGCGATGGGCGTCGCAAGCCACCAGATACTTAAGGTCCGGCGAGTAGGACACGTCGGTTACCGCGCCCTGATGGTCCATCTCAGTTTTGGGCTCCAGGACTCCGTTCTTGAGACTGTAGATGTGCAGTTTCTGGTCATCACCGCCCACAGCAATTTCCGAGGTGTCCGCGTTAACGGCAATCGAACTGGCCTCGAACTTGATGGGCAGCGAGAAGATTTTCTTCTGGTCCTGCACGAGGGTCAGCTCCTTGATGCAGGCCAGCGCGATGATGTTCTCGCTGCGCAGAATGGCGAGTCCGCGAGGCTGGCAATTGAGCTTGACGACGTAATCGGTGTATGCGTTACCCTCAACGCTGAACTGACGCAGGCTGTCGTCGATGCCACAGGTATAGACAAAGTCGCCCCAGGCGGCGATGCCGTTGATCTGATTGCCGTGACCAGTTCCTGTGATACGGTCGTTGGTGCCATTGCCAGAGTTCCAATTGGTCACTACGCCGTCATGGCTGCCGGTGTAAATGGTGCTGCGGTCATCGCTCAGGCCCAGTACGGTTATGGGCTTGTTGTGGCCCTTGACTACGCGCAGCGGCTTGCTGGGATCCTCGACGTTTAGGTAAGTGATTACGCCCGAAAGGGAAACAGTGATCAAGTGCTCGCCCTGCCACAGGCACGACACTTGCTGGTCGTCCACGGTGGCTCCCATAACGAACTCACTAATCAGCTCACGCGACTCCACTTGCCACAGCCGGCAGGTCTTGTCGCCAGAGCAGGTCAGTAGCTGGCTGCCGTCCGGCTTCCAAGCCAGGGCGTACACACCACCCTTGTGAGCAGGCGAGCCGAACTCGCCCACCAGCTCGGAACTGGTACCGTCGTACAGGAAGACTTTGCCGTCAAAGCCGGCCGAAGCAAAGAACTTGCCGTCTGGAGAGTAGCGAACCGCTTGGACGAAACGGGAGTGATCCTGCTTAGTCATCTTGAACTTGAACGGCGGTCCCTCGAACACGGCGATCGTGTTGTCTTCGCTGCCTGTTGTTTATCAGCAGGTTAGTAACTCCACAACATCGTTTGGCTATTCAGTGTGCTTACCTGTCACGATGCGGAAGGGCCTAGCTGGCCGGAAGTCCGCCGAGTTGATGGACTTTGATTGGCCACTGATTTCGCCCACTGATGTGCCTGTCTCTGACATGAAGACATGTCCAAATCGCTCGCGACCCTCTCCTACAGCGACAATGCGCTGGTTATCCGGCGACCAGCTGATGTCCTTGATGGGCCCTGCGATTGGCTGGAACTCATTCTTCAGGAGGTGCTCCTTGTTGACCGTGTCCCAGATCCGAATCTTTCCCGAGGCGTCTAGAAAAACGTAAAAGCGAATAATAGTAGTTCCAATTTCCATTCGCAAACATCAGATAAGATAAGAAACCGTTCGATGCTCGTCGGTCTCCCCAAATGGTAATTCTATGCATGGGCTGTGGCGTGACTCACGGTGACCACCGATTCAACACTGTTGTGGCTTCGCATGCTCCGCTGCCTGCACCTTGTGCCGTGCGCCTCCAAGAGTGAAATTGCTGTGCGTAACTTACCGCCAGATGCAATGTAGAAGCCGCTGGGCGAGTATTTGGCCACGTTCACTGCACACGAGTGCTCCGTGTAGACATCGGCGATGGCTGGATTCTGTGGGACGGTCGAGAGACAGAAAAGACAGTGCGAGAGTGCTTTTTAGAATCACTTTTACAATCCGACATACATATGTACATAGGCAGCTGGGACAGAGCAACTTAATGCTCAATCGGCCAGCAATCCGAACATCATAATGAAGTTACGTGGGCGGCAAACAAGAAATATTCCGTGCGCCTGTATGAGTGGTTGATTTTGCCGGTCGGCCGTGGAATGGGTGCTGTATAAAAATAAATATAGAACAGCTGCCGCTAGCTAACAAAAAGAAAACAAAACCGACTCATACTGGCAGACAGGAACGGAAAAGTAGCAGAAAACTGCAGCTGTCCAAAAATAAAACACCATTTGGAAGAGCCTACAGTTTATGGCAGGAGTATTCTGCTGCAATATCAGCTTACCTCGATGTTCCGGATAATCACAGAGTTCCCGTTCGTGTAGAGGAAATTCTTGCCCTTAGGATCGGCGCCCAGCACAATCGGCTGGCCGCGTTGGGTGCGCGGCAGTGTCGCATAAATGTTTTCTGCAATTTAAACCGCGACGAAATGCGATTAGACAACAGATTAAAGAAAAAAAACCTAGATAACACCGGCGAGTTGGCATGGAGTGGGACGGACTGGGCGCGGCCGTTCCCGACTTCTTAAACGGAAACAAAAGAGTGCAAGGGTGGAGCCACCTCCCCGCAGCCCCTTTATCTTGCTGCGGCGTCTGTCCATTTATGGGCATAATCACGACGCTTCCGGCGATGGCTTTCTGCTTTTACCGTTTTCGCTTGTTGACTCATCCCCCTTCTCGTCACGTCAATGCCGGCAACTCTTGAACACCACCAAATTGGGCTATCATTCTCTTGCATGCCAACTCACTGTTTTCGTAGGCTGGTGGTTGGGGCTGAGCCATTGTTGTGTTCCTCTGTGCTGGGCTAGTGGAGTACGAACGATACTATATTGCGAATTTCCGTTTGATTTATAAAACCGACAAGCTATGGCGCAGTGTGACCGAATTGAACAATTGCAATAAGGCCGACCTTCTCGATAACATATACCATCCGGCTCAGAAGTATATACTATAAAAATCATTTTATAATAATTAAATACCTGGGGTATTTTACAAAACTAATGTCTTATAAATAACTAGAGAGATTTTCGCAGCTAGGTTTTATATGCATACGTAATTTAATTTAGTCAAAAATGAGTAGTAGTATTATGGGTATTGCACGCAAATGTATTGTGAATTAGTATATTCATTAGAGATACCGCATAAATTTATCGTTATCGACGCAGCACCCTGTTTATTTCCCTATTGTTTACGTTTTTATCTGCCGGGCGAAATGATGAGTACATCCGCAAAAGTAGAGAATCCCCGCTATGGTCAGCTGATCATTGGCCCACCGGGATCCGGCAAAACAACCTATTGCGCTGAAGCTCTCAAGTTCTACCGTGAGCTTGGGCGACAAGTGGGCGTTGTGAACCTGGACCCGGCCAACGACAACATGGGCTACGAGCCAGTGCTCAGTGTGGTAGAGCTAATTACTGTAGACGAATGCATGGAGCACCTGCAGCTGGGACCCAATGGAGCGCTGATGCACTGCGCCGAGTACCTGGCGGAGCACCTAGAGGACTGGCTGCTACCAGCTCTCCGCAGGCTAGGTGCCACCCACAACTATTTTCTGTTTGATTGCCCGGGCCAGATAGAGCTCTATACGCATCACAGTGCCATGGCTCGGGTGTTCGAAAGACTGGAGCGGGAGCGGTACAGCTTGGTTACCGTTAACCTAATCGACTCTCACTACTGTTCGGAACCGGCAAAGTTCATTGCCACGCTCCTGATGGCACTCAACACGATGCTGCGCATGAGCCTGCCTCACGTTAATGTGCTATCAAAGGCCGATCTGCTGCGGAAGCACGAGACCAAGCTGCACTTCAACGTAGACTTCTACGCGGACGTCCTGGACCTGAAATATCTGCTGGACAAATTGGACGACGACCCTGCCATGCGCAAATACCATAAGCTGAATGAAGCCATTTGCTCTACTGTCGAGGACTATGCGCTGGTCTCCTTCCAGCTGCTGGACGCGTTCAGCACAGACAGCATGCTGCGCCTGCGAAACCACATCGACAAGGCCAACGGCTATGTCTATAAGGCGGGCGAGGAGCAAACGGTCAACTCACTGTTGGCATGCGCAGTGGGAGCGGAGGCAGAGGCGGCACGTCAGCAACAAGATGTTCAGCCTTATGTGGAATAGAAATGCTGGGATACTCGTACATCAAGAATACCTTTGTAAATCTATCCATACAAACCCAGCTGTGATAAAGATTGGAGAATGCCAAGACAAAACAATAAAATGCATACTGTAAATGAGTAAATTATTACTATTTTTTTGCATTATTGTATTTCACGAGGAAGGTCAACTTTCCCATTCATTTACCCTCTACATAAGCTTTGGAACGGCCTGGATCAGTCAACTATATAATACACGCCTGCAGATACTGATTTATCTGCATCCGACACCCGGTTCCAGCTTATCTACAGTGGCTCAGCTTATTTCAACCAGACCTAAAAATTTAAACGCACAATGTCTTAGGTTTAAAGATTATATTTATACACATTCCTTATTTGTATTTTTTATTTTTGTTAAAATTAAAAACGAATAAACAACGACAAAAAATGCCACTGTTTATTTTAACCAGGAACATACATACTTTAAACTTAACGCTTATTGACTTCAAATAATATAGTTAGTATTTGGTATGACCACCTTTATTGTCCACAATCATTTTAAGTCCTTTTGGCTTCGAATCCACCAACTTTAATTGGTTTCTGGGGCTATTTTTATCAACTCTTCGGCCAACGACTCTATCAGGTCCTTTTTGTTGGATATTTTCCGTTTTCGGATGTTTTTATATAAAACTCCCCACAAATTGTCAATGACATTAATTTCGGGTGACTGTACTAGGGACTGTGTAACGTGCGGGCATTTCCAATAAAGCCAAGCTTGACTTATGTTTTGTAATTGTCCTTCTCAAATACCCAGATCTTTCACGCTTTCAAACAAATTATTGCTTCAAAATCTCGAGGTATTGAGTGTTTTCTTTGGTTCAAAAAACTCCAGTTCCCAACACCTGCTGCCGACATACATGTCCAACCATAACGCTTCCCCGCCGTGCCTAATTGTAGCTTTCAAATTCTTAGAGTGCATATTAAAAAAACGTTGGAGGGGATTTTTAGTGTTGGAACATATTCTCGAACGAGTCAATGTTAAATATATTTGGAGAAAGCAAAATACAGAGCTCCACACAGTCGTTCCATGTGTTTTTGTGAAATGTTATGGAGCTTGTCGCCAAATTTTGGGCATTTTGAGGTCGCGTTCGATGTCCTGGTTTTCAAGTACCAAGAGCTCCAGAATTTTTTTCTCCCGTAGTATCCTTATCTCTTTGATATTACTTTTTGCAGCAATGCCATATACTTATGTATATGAAGACCATAGAATAGGCTGGGGGACCTTGCAGCCAAGCGACAGTTTATTGCGAAATGGAATGAGCCGCGACATCCTTAGTTCTGAATGGTAAGCATTTCAAATATTTAAATAAATTAAATATTTTTACTGCTAGAATCAGTGAGTTTAAATCAGGGATCGCATATAAGATTTATGACTTGAAAAATAATATAAAATTTATGTAACAACTTCTTTATTAAAATTTAAAAAAAAGAGTTAAAACGTAATTAAAAAACAAAAATTGGTTATTAAAGTTTATTTTTTTTTTTTAACTCCTACAAAAAAGTTAAGTTTTTCAAAATTTTTTGGTATACAGAAAAAATGGTAGAACGAAAAAATCAAGAATATTTTTCTTGATTTTTTCGATGTGGTGGATTAAAATTTTTAAGTACGATTCGGGGTTAGACGGTCGAGTTAATCCCGTTTCGGGATTAAATGACAAATTAAGCCTAAAAATTCTTGAATCAATCCCATTTCGGGATTAAAATTACCAATTAAGCCTAAAAATTCTTGAATCAATCGCGTTTCGGGATTAAAATGACAAAATGAGCGTAAGAATTCTTGAATTAATCTCATTTTGGGATTATAGAGGCATAATAAGCCAAAACATTCTTGAATTAAGCCTAAATATTCTTAAAAATTTGGTGAGAGCAGCAAATCTATTTTTAGCTCAGAGAGAGATAAAGGGATACACATATTTTTGCTCTTTCCTTGAAACTGTATGTATTCGCGTTCCCGACATTAGCTTTTGATTTGATTCAGTGGCCCAGTTGGTAAGCGGACGGTCTGTGATTTCTGAGACATGGGTTCGAATCCCGACCGAGAACTAGGAAAAGTAAGTTTAAGTCGCTTTTAATAAGATTTATACATTAATATAATTAATTTAATAACCATTTGTAGCTTTATAATTACAGATTTAAATAAAAACTTCTTTCACTTCTCACTAAGAACTTTAGAGGGATTAAATCAAGGATTTTTGGGATTAAAATAGTTAAGAATTTCGGGGACTAAATCGAGAAAACAAATTTTTTTTTTTTTAAATTAAATTTAAATTTAAATTTTTAAATTAAAATTTTTAAATTAAAATTTAAGAATGTTTGAGATTAAATTAAGAAAAATTGGGATTGAAATTTTTAAGGTTAGCGGGATTGAATCAAGAATTTTCGAGATTGAAAAAATTAAGTATGTTCGTTCTTATATTAAGAAAATCCGACCTTAGCTCGAAATCATGCCCACTTGGGATTGATTTTGGCGACTTTATCCCGGATTTTTTTTTCTGTGTACGCAAAATTAAAAAGAGAATAGTAGGCGAATCAGAAACTTCAACTAGAAGAAATGGAAAAAATCACGTTGAGAAGTTTATTTGATCAGAGTATTTTGTAAGGCCACTCAGAAAGCGTGAATAATATTTATCTATTTCGTTAACAAGTTGTCAGTCAAAAGATGTCGGGCAAAGCCAAGGCCGTGGATCAGAGTTTGCCATGGTATTCCTTCATCTCCAACGCCATCAAGGACACGCCGTTAGATGTGACACTCCTGGTCGTCTCGGCTTTCGTCTTCTATAAGGTGGTAAGCCTAACCCGTCGGCGTCGTCAGCGCCGCCATCGTGAACAGCAGCTTATGGGGCCGGGCCCGATCTCCTTGGAGCCAGGTGGCGGTGGGCAGAAGGAGGAGCTCTCTCCACTACGCAGCGACTTTACGGTGGCCGAGCTGCGCGAATACAATGGAACTCGGGAGGATGGTCGTATTCTGGTGGCCATAAACTTTAGTATTTACGATGTGTCCCGATCCAAACACTATTACGGACGCAATGGCGTTTATCCAAACTATGCCGGACGCGATATTTCGCGAAACTTGATCAATTTCTCAGTGGAGACGAATGAGAGCGAAGAGTTTGACGACTTTAGCGACCTTTCAATTAGTCAAATGAGCACTTTGAGGGAATGGGATCAGCAGTTCAGGGAGAAATACCCATTGGTTGGAAAGCTTCTGCGCGAAGGCGAGCTACATACCAACTATGAGGACGAGGATGAGGAGGCGGAGCAAGAAATGCATCGGAATCAATAAATATTATTTCGCTAATAAAATTATTTTTGGTCAAATGTAGTAAATAAACAATATCCATTATCCATATTCTAATTTATGAATAACTAGAAGAACTAGAAGCGAAGGTAAAGTTTATGCCAGTTCACTGGAAAGGACCTATTTCGGTCAAGTGCAAGAAAGAAAGAAAGCTAACTTCGGCACGCCAAAGTTTGTATACCTTTGCAGATTGTACTTAGATCATTAAGAATCGTTCCGTTTTGACATATATACATAGCAGTTGGGATATATAGAAGACTATATGCAAAATTTCATTCATTTTGCGTAAAAACAGACAGACAGACATGGCTAGATCGACTCGGCTGTTGATGCTGATCAAGAATATATATGGGCATTTCCACAGAAAGGTCCAACGCGGCCAAAAAACTAAAACTTCTCTAAAATTTTTTTTTTCCAACATAGTAACATTAGGAAAAGGCCAATTGATTAAATTTGAAGGGGTTTATCATATTCTAAAACAAATTTCGAAATATTCGAATGCATATTCGCGCAGACACGATTTTTCATTATTTTGATGATAAAAATGGGCCTGTTTTCTTTTGATAATTACATCCAAACCGAGGCATTATGCTTTGACTGTTGTTTACTAACATCACTAGAAGAATGCAAAGAGTCGAAATAAAATGGATATATGCTCTTCCAATTTACTTATAATACTAAAAATTACATGCAAAGTATGATGATAAAAAATGTCGCGTGCGACATGTCGCGTTCCAATCTGATTAAAATTAAATAAAAAATGAACTACGCTATATTTCTGCTTGTAAATTAAAGCATATGAAAGTGACATTATTGCATTACCTTTAGAAATTTGTTTCATTAAAATAGTCTCTGCCGTTTCGCTGAAATCAGTGTTTAAACAGCTCGCCGCGAAAGTGACTTCTGTTTTTGTCGCGTGCGAATCCTTCAGTTTTTTTAAATTTTCTTAAAATTGAGCAAACACTCAAAATCAACATTTGCACCAATTATAGTCCTAGGTAAGAGCTATAAGTTAACATTTATAAAAAAAAAAAAGAAATGTACCATACTTTTTTTGATTGAATGCGTACGAATGTCGCGTGCGACATTTTGGAAATGCCCATATGTATAGTATGTTATAGGGTCGGAAAGGTCTCCTTCACTGCGTTGCAAACTTCTGACTGAAATTATAATACCCTGCAAGGGTATACAAATCGTACGAAAAATATAACAAAAATATATGTATACAAATTCATTACATAATAATGGACATCGTGAAAATGTGATACCCAGTAAACTAAAAATGAAAGTGAAAAAATTTAAATGTAAAAACACGGAACTTTTATGATACAGTACTCCGATTTTATAGATTATGTATTTAAAAACTTACCGTAATTTTAGACTCTTACAAAACAGTTATATCTCAAAGACCCAGAGGGCTTTACGACACTATATTTTTATATTATATGAGTACTCTTAGCGAGTCCAGAAAATGTTTGTTGTTTGCAATCTAAAAATCGAAGTAGTCTTTACTAAAAACTTCTCAGGTCGCTGATGACTTTGGAATTTTTAAATTGGTTCGTAGCAACAGCATAAATTTTAGCCCTTTAAAATTAATGGATTTGGTTTTGTAACTTGTATATAAAGTGGAAAATATGCTAAAGATACCAAACCGACGCAAGATGCCCCTGCCATCACAACTACCTCGGATAACCAACATAGAGCGGCCAACTCCAGGAAAGAAACTCAATCCCTTAAAGTTGTCTTCCGTTCAACCGCAGCCCTTAGTAGCAGGACCCAGTCCACACCTACCCGAAATATCTGAATTGAATGAACGCTTATTAGATATTCAGAAGCGAGTCGCTGAGTGGAAGGGCAAACATGTAAAATAGGAATTTAATCCAAATTATGTTCTCCGAAAAGTTTATAGTTCGCGAGATTACTTACCTATGTACATAACTCTACTTAGCTAAGTTACTAACAAATAAAGTTACATTCATGGTAATATAAAAGTTAAGTTCCCATTTTCAGCTAAGAAACTTTATAACATGCTTCCCCTGGATTGAAATCTAGCAGCGGCTTTAAGAAGCATCATTTTCCTAACTAGCTCGCTTAAGGGTCCATTCTGGTTAGTTGGGCCAAAAAAATAGACAATTTTCAGGAATTTTTTGTGGACCAAGGAAAAAACATAGAAAGTTCAAACTTGTCATATATATTTATCATAGTTTAAAGATGATTTAGCATAAATTTCAAAAATTTTATAGCATGTCCTGAAGCAGGACACAGGGCGACGTAAGCCCATGCCCAAAAAAGGAACCCCTCTGGCGACCATTCTGCAGGACGTAAAAATCGATTGAAACAAAAAATTCAAAAATGTTCTTGTTAAGTATGAATGTGGTAATGGAATAGGCTACTTTTATCAAAATTTAATAAAAAATAAGAAAATGGCGGCGCCTCAAAAAATTTTTTTCGTTTTTTTGAAAAATATCTTCACTTTTTTGTTGAAAAAAAATCCAATGTTTAAGCTATCAATATAATTGTAGACTATTCCATGGACACGTTAATTACGCGTATTTAAAAAAAAAAAACATTAAGATTCGGCAAAAACTGACTGAGATATTATGGTCGCCAGCCCGAAAAATGTAGTTTTCCAGAAAACGCGTTTAAAGTTTTATGTTTGCTCTGTAACTGCTTTGAGTCGGCCGGTTCGGAGGCTCATAACATTTAAACTATTACGTATTTCGATTTGCCCTTTTAGTATGATATTCAAGACACTTAAAGCTATCGAAAAGTGCAAAAAAAAAACCAGAATGGAGAACTTTCGAATCACAGGCGAGTTATCCTTTGTAACGGCAAAAATGTCGCTAAAATGACAATGTATAAGAAATTTCGCTTTCTGGATTTGAACTGAAATTCAAGTTCATTGCCAGCCAACGAATGCTTATTATGATTATTTCATTCAAGGGCTTTTCGCTGACCAGATAAATTGAATGGCGACTTATCCAGTGACTGGGGCCATTCAACAAAGTTATGCCCCTCTCGGACTGCTGTAAAGTTATGACATAAGCTACGGGAAGTGGCATTATCACGCAGGAATTACCCTCAGCCTTAACTTGGCACAGTTTTGATATATTCGCGATGCTAATTTAAGCTCGGCAAAGTCGATTCGCGGATTCCAGATAGGCCGTGGATTCGCCTCTAACGTTTGATAAGGTTTTCGGACGGCGTCGACTGAGGGCCTATAAAAGCTGCTCACCCTAGTTGGCAATTTCAGTCGCAGTCATACTTTTAATTTGTGAACATTAAAAAACACTTCGGATTTAAAACTGTTTTTGTGTATATTCGGTCACCAGCTTAGGAATATAAATGTCCTGGAAGTGATGTGTTACCACAAGTGATCCTAGCAGGATACATCAGTATCCTCCTTTGGAAATATAATTTGACAGGAGGACAATATTATTTGCCAAAATGAGGCAGAAAGTGATTTATTTGTGTGTGTGGATAGTGCTGATCTCTCAAGTGTGGTCTGAGGATGGCGACTTTATAATGAACGATGAGGATGACGAGGATCTTAAGTAAGGAAGAAGTTTATCGGTGCAGACATTGCAGTGAAAATAAGTTTAAAATATAATAAAAAGGACACACAAACATTTTACAATTATTTTTAAAAGCTTCCGGAATATTTAATAGCCTTTTTAAATGTCCTGAAATCGGCTCCTCTGATAAATCGTGGCTTTTTATTGATTTTTTTTTTTAAATAATTACTAAATTGAATTTAAATATACGATTCATTTACAATATAGTCGTTTTGAATAAATATTTTGAAGCTACTTTTTGCATCTAAATACTGAAAATAAAACATACATTAAAGATTCTGTGTCGACCGTTTTCGATGCGTTTTAGGAGTTACTTAGGATTTCCCCCTTTTAATTCGAGTAAATGTTTGAAGACTCCAAAGAGTGTAATTATTATTCCGATTATTATAAAAGTTTTATCTAACTGATTACATTGTGCATTAAAAATGCTAATAGTTTTTGAGTGATTAAATTAAGCAATAATAATTCGCAGATATGGCTTGAAATGGAGCATGACCAAGATAGGATGTATTTTTATTCAAATAAATAGTAAACATTTATCTTAAAAGGAAGGTAGAGTCCTTTGACTAAATAAGATTTGTAGCCTAGGTTGTTTCCTTATAATCCTTTTACAAGGATATAAAATAAGGATATATAGGATAAGAATATATATAATAACAGCAAAATCGTACATTTAAATTGAGTTAAGAAATTTTTAGATACTAAATGAAAATCGTTAATAATTTTTGTTTAAGTTTTATTTCCACTAAAATTAAACTTATTTGTTTTTATTTCCTGTGCTTTTATTTTCTCTGAAATTATTTAATATATATGGATTAAATTCATGTTCTATTTTTATTCGGACAGAAAGAAAATTTGTGTCAAACACTCTTTTAGCTAGGGTTACTTTATACAACGATATAAAACAATATCGCCGAAAATTGTACTACATTGTACATAAGAATTGAATTTTAATTTTTTGCGATACAAATTAAAATCGTTTTTATATTATATATGTAACAGTGTTTTTCTTTGAAAATAATAATAGCGGTCCCAGCCTTAATAAATTTGTTAAGAATATGTAAGGTCCTTGTTGAATTAAACCAGCAAAAATTTTCTACGTTTTGGCAAGGAAAGTTAGTAAAAATTTAAAAGGTATTTTTAGTATACATTTGAATTTTTGTCCGTTATACGCTGAATAGAATTTCCGCTTTGGAGTACTTTTTGTGACTAGACTAGAAATTTGTATGTGACTCAGTTAAGAAATATTTGTACTGCAAGCCTGATAATAATACCATCACATTTCCCCATATTTTTGCTCAAATTATTCGCAAAATTAGCCCGCTAGTCCAAGCTGTACCCGACTCCTTCGATAAGGAAAGTGAACGCAAAGAACGCCATATCAGCTTCAACATACAACGTGCCCCCGCA